TTTTGTTAATTAGGCACAGTAAGAGGTTCAAAAAAACTATAATAAAATAGAGTGACTTGTAGTATCTTGTAATAAAAATTGTGTGAATGTCCCTCTTTCTTGAAAGTGTCAAGAAAAGTATTAATATTTTTGGACTGCGGTTAACTGCTGGTAAGCGACACTATGGATAGCAGTCTATGAGGGGATTGTACTGTGGAAATCTACAAACACTACACACCGAAGTCTCCATCTCTCCCCTCACCCATCTGCTTCTACCTGTCAACAGCCAGAAATCCATTTGCAGTGGAGCTGGCAGAAATGATGCCACTTCTGGTGCTGTGGCTGGAGAGCACTGACTAAAAGTTGGCCTCACCCTTGGGTGTGGAATTTTAAACCTAGGCAGCATAAAGTCCCTAGATTAGAATCATCTGCTGCCGTCCAGAGATGACCAATAGGAATGCAGGGTCAAAATCTCACTCCCTAGAGGGATTAAACATAAGCTATTTGAAACACGGTGAAAAACAATGACCAGGAAATTTTCAAAAATTAAGCCAGGAAGATAGATTTTTGTCTCATTGTGACTTAACATTACTCTATCTCTAAATGAAAAATGACAAGAACTCTTAAAGGGATAAAATTATTGCACTAAATTTAGCATGCTAAAAATTCTGTTATTGTTACAAATTTGCCTGTGATTTTTCAAGATAAAATATATTGTGGGTGTTAAAAATGATTAACTAAAAGTGGTTTCTTTTTAGGTTGTGGAGAAAATATCCAGGTCTCATTGGGAAGCATAGCCCCGGTGGCCTTAGACATTAGTTTCGATATGAATCCAAGATCCTGGGAATAAATTCTAAGGGAAGAACACTAAAATCCTTTATCCTTCCTCAAGAAAGTGTTATTGCAGTTTAGCTGCTTTCTGTACTATTTTTTTTTTCTGGGAAATTTGCTAAAAGTGGAATGTTAGCTCTGTAATCAGATTGCATTCCTTATCAGTAAACATGATCCCATTGGAAAATTCCACTTCCATTGCAATAACTGTGGATCAGGCACAAATACCTGGTAGAAAACCACACCTTTTAGCTTCCTTGCACCCTCCAATTGCTCTTTCACTTTCTTGGTTAAATTTATTCATAGGTGGTGTAAGATTTATTTTTTTCAAAAGGTAGAATGATAAAGAAGGAGAAACTGAGAGAAAATTTTCCATCTGCTGGGTCGCTGCCAAAATAGCTCTCAGCTGTGTCTGGGCCAGGTGGAAACCAGGAGACTGGAACTCCATCCAGATCTCCCATGTGGGCAACAGGCACTCAAGCATTTGGGCCATCTTGTGCTACCTTCCCAGGCCCTTTAGAAGGGAGCTGGATCAGAGTTTCTTTCTTTCATTACTTAGTGGTTTATTCAATACAGCCATGGTAGGCAGCCATACCCATCTGATGGCCCCCACCCTCCACAGAGCCATGAAGCATCATGTGCATCACAACACTCACAGAGTGTGGCATCTCATAGTCTGCTCTGTAAGGTTTCTGCTGAGAAATCCACTGTCAATCCAATGGAGATTGCCTCAAGTGTGATTGGATGCTGTCTTACTTTTGGAATTCTGTCTCTATCTTGGCTCTTTAAAAATTTTTTTTATTTGAAAGGCAGAGTTACAGAAAAGGCAAGAAAGACAGAGACAGAGATTTTTCATCTGTTAATTAATTTCCCAAATGGTCTCAGTGGCCAGAACTGGGCCAGTCCAAAGCCAAAAGCCAGGAACTTCCTCTGGGTCTCCCACATGGATGCAGGGTCCCGAGAACTAGAGCCATCTCTGCTGCTTTCCCAGGACATAGGCAGGGAGCTGGATACCAGTGCTGTGGGTGGTAGTTTCGCCTGTTATGTTGCCATGGCGCTGGCTTCCTGTCTTTCATTTTTGGCAGCTTGATTAGGATGTACCTTGTAGAGGACTTCCTTAGGTTGAGTTGGAATTCTTTGCGTTCCATATCTGTACGGCTATTATTTCATTAAATAAGGTTTTTGTACTTTTTTCCATCTCCTCTCTCACTTAAGCTTTTATGATACAAGTGTGTGTCTGCTTAATGATGTGCTTGAGTACCATAGGCTTTATTCACCTTTTTCACTCTTCATCACCTGCCCCTCCCCCACTGTGTGTGGTTAATTCAAAAGATATTTTCAAGTTCAGAAATTTGTCTTCATATTAGTCTTCATATTTGTCTTCATAGTCTGTGGTTCTCAATTAGACTTGTTTTATCCATTGACGTTTTCATCTCTAAATTTTGTTTGGTTTATTTTTTATGATAATTGTTTCTTTGTTGATTTTTTTATTCAACCAATGAATTGTTTGCCTGATTTCATGGAATTATTTGTATCATCTTGCATCTCACTGAGCTTCCATCAAAGCCTTATTTTGAAGGACTTCTCAGACATTTTGAAAATCTCCTTTGCTTTGGGGTCCATTACTACCAGAGAATCACTGTGACCCCTTGGGTCTCGGAGGTTCCTGATCAGCAGGCCCCTGCAACACCAAGAGGAGGAGGTGGGCAGTGTTCCCCAGCAAGAACCAGCAGAGACAGTCTGATCGAGCATGTGCATTTATTGTAAGGCAAGCACAAACCTGTATAGACTAAGAAAAAGGGAAGGTAGAAGGGCATCTTCCGACAGTCCTCCTATCACCAATGGCACTGTAACTGGCTAGAAGTCATCTCCATCTTTCTGGATCTTCCGGTCACGCTATAGGTCCTGTAGACCATGAACAACTGGCAGGTGTGCTGAAGGTCTCAAACACCACATGTGACTGGCAGGTAATGTGGGACCTCACCTACTTCTCAAGAGTTGCTTAGCAAGCAAGTGCCAGCACAGCTTCTCCAAGGACAGAGAGGAGAAATGGGCAGAGCCCACCGTTCTTGCTGGCATGACCAGTGATCAGGTCAGGTTGAGGTCTCAGTGTGCCAAGACCATTGCCAGAGGGCTCCCCTGGGGACATGGGTGCCATGTCCTTATGACCTTGCATGTGGGCCAACCAGGCAGAGATCCAGAGGCAATCTCCCACACTTGAGTGTTATGTTCCTTGCGTCCCAATGTTTCTTGTGTCCCAATGTCACATTTGCACATCTAGTGTTTTCAATTTTGCAGAGCTTTATTTTTGTGGTGTTTTTCCCTCCACAAGGAGACACTTTGTCCATTAGGTGGGTATAGGATATCAGCTGAGTGTGATGTGTCATCTTTGATCCTAGGTTAACTCAATAGTGTGGTCTTGAAAATTTCTTCAACTATAATCCTTGCTAACAATGTCTATAGTTACATCAGTGGCCTAGGTGTTAATGTGGGTGTAAAGGACTGTGGGGTATATCATGATTTGTTGGGCCTGGGCCCACCATCTGAATGGCAGTTTTGTTGTGTGGGTCCCTGTGGCAGCATGGCTAGGGCTGCTGTTAGTGTTTCAGACTCAGTGCATGCATACATTGTGGGTAGGCGGCTGTGTAGCCAACGCAGGGAAGTGCACAGCTCCGCTCTTGTTGTGAGACTAGGTTTGGGTACGTGTGGGTTCTGCAAGCTGGTCAGCTGCATTGGGGCCATTGCAGGGGCTAAGCTGGGCACACGCACATGTGAATCTCTGCTATGCCTTCCCATGTGCAAGATGACATCTTGGCTTTTCTTTTGGGCGTAGACAGTCAGTATCTAGGGCTTGTGTGTTGTGACCACACTGAAGATGGGAGATGGCACTGTGGATGTTTTTTCTGGACTAGAGCTGTGTTTTCACACATACAAGCTGTTTTTTGTGCCTTCTCTCTTTTACTTTTATATTCATTTCTGGTCCCTTTTTATTTTACTTTATTTCTTTACTTTTTTTTTTTTTTTTTTTTACCCTGCTACTACATAGAAACTCAAACTTTACTTTCCTGCTCTTAAAAATTTTAATGAAAGTTAAGTCCAGGAAGGAGAAACGCAGAATTGACACAATGATTCGAGTAGCCAAGCATTCCGACAAGTTAGCGGTGTATGCAGAAGAGTGTCTGGGCACCGCCCTTCCCCAGACACGCAGGACAGAGCCCCTGCCGCCCCCTGGCACAGCCTGAATGCCTTCTCACCACCTTCGTGCCTGGCTGTTGGGCACTGGCAGGTCCCCATGCCGTCAGGCACTGGCGGCCACTGCAGCGGTAACCGTGTCCCTGCGCTGCAGCAGTCGCGGGCCTCCTCACACACAGATTTTTGTTTCTGTGTTAAAGGATCTGAAAGATCTGATTGACATTCTTTGTCTCCAGATGACAGAAAGTGCCAGGATGGGAGGGTAGGTTTGCTGTTGAGGACGGTTACCATCTGAGGAGAGAATTTTTTTGGCACATCTTCCCCCTAACTGTTGCGGATGAATCAAAGAATAGAGCTGAAGTGGAGACCAGTCTGCATGTAGGTAAAAAGCAAGCTCTCACGCAGGACACAGATCACATGGCAAGACGCCAGGCTTCACAGGGGCGGAGTTGGGTAAAGAGAAGAAAGGAGATAAGGAGAAGCTGGCTGGGACAACTCAGGAAGTCCCCAGGACTGTGATGGCCCAGAAGCGCCCCCTCTGTGCATTTGCTCTGCACCCCACTTGCTTGCCCCCGCTCCCCGAGTGCTGAGAGCAGCTCAGCCACTGCTCTGTATAAACTCCAGAGAAGATTTGATCGAGGCCCAGGCATTACGAGTGATCCAGACTGGTGCCCTTTGGAGTGATGTAAAGGCCCTTCGTTTCCCGTCCCTGGAGGTCAGTTTCTGTGGCAGAAGGACATCATTTAGCCCTGGATAGACCTTTGCAGATAAAGAAACTGAATTCCAGAAGAGTTAAATATTTTGTGGAAGTTCAGACACTTGTTTGGTGGCTATATTGTGAGCACAAAATTACAAAATTGTGCTATAGTTTGAATCCACTAAATTCTGGATCTAATAATATAGAAACTGGTAGTTGAGATTAGTAACTGCAAAACAGTTAAAGTGTTTTACTTGGGTCAATTATGTCAGACTAATAAAGATTTATCTTTGTGTTTCAGGACTGAAAACTGATAATTGTGTGGAGAACCCAGGTAAGTTCCTGTGAAGTGTGGCGTCTGTAATAGGAGTTTTCTCGGTGTTGTTTTTCATGGGTGTACAGCAGAGCGGCCCCACCACTGCGCTGTCAGACCATCAGGCCTCATTTTCTCAAAGCTGCACATTGTGCCACTTCTTCCCTGTTGGAGCGGAGCCCAGGACTGCCTGCTGCCCCACCCCTGCTCTTGCCACCACCCTGCCTGTGACTGGGACACGCTGGCCTCATTCTAGCTGTCCTTCCAGAGGCTTGAGGACTCCCACATGTCCCTGTAGGACTTCAGTCACCTCTCCACGGCTCCTACGCAAGGGCCTGGATGTCTGTGATGTTTTGATGGCTTAGGAGACAGCGGGAATGGATAAATGGGCTTGGAGAGTAGGGTGAGACAGAAGGAACGGGATGACTGTGGCTTATCTGGGCTGACAGATGGTGATGCAGTGTGTGGCAGCATCCTCAGTGGGGAGATAGGAGGATTCAACAAAAAGAGCCCTCCTTAGGAGGACCTGACAGGGGTCTGAGGAGGCAGGCAGCATTACCCAGTAGCCCCCATACGCTGAAGTCAGAGGTGCCGGGAAATGCCTTGGGCTGGTGCACACTCCCGGTGGGTCCTTTGAAGAATTTCTTTTTTAAGGCGTTTGAGAACAAGAATCTGTTTCCAGCTAACTTTTTGTCTAGCTTTCCTGTGAATCTAGCCCATGTAATTAAAATCAATCCATATACATTTGTTTTTGAATTGGAGTTTTGTATTTTATAATAACCATATTTGTATGGTCCTCAAATAGAAACTGGTTTAAATATATGTATATCCCTAATACATATGTATGTATAATATATATATGCATGTGAGAATGCTAATATGTAATGAAAACGTGTTCATATTTCAGAATATCTTCAACCTACCTATGTCTACAACCGTGGTGAGTGTATCCTTACGTGGCTATCTAATAGTGCCTTCTTGTTATACAGATGTAGTTCTTAGCTAAAAGACCGCAAAGCAGTAGTTTGGAAAGACACAAAAGGTGGGAAAAATAACCTTTTTCGAATGAGAGAGCTGGCTCTGTGGAGACCTGGGCAGCATGAAGACTTAGAGGATTAACAGGGAGGGGCCTGAGGGTGGCCCGCCCGTTTTCCCGAAGGCGTGGCTCTGCACTTCGTCACTGAGGTTGGGCTGTGAGGAGCGAAGCATTCAGGTACAAACAGAAAGCCGAGTATATCTCTGTTTCTCAGATATGCTGATGTTTCATGTTTGGTATCACTTAACCGAAATATCCGGATGATTCGTTTTATGAAAAGTTCTCACATAGGGAGACACAACACAAATTATTTCTTTGCATCTAAGTTTTTCATTAGGTTTAGCCCATGTGTCCACAAAAAGTTTTTCCTTGTTGACACTAGGAAAGGACTTTTCCTAACTTTTCCAAACTTTTTATAAATTTGCAATGTACCGTTTGTTCCGGAAGCTACCTGCTGTGGGGAGAGAAGCGAAGCATTTCACGGTGCTCTGGATTTCGTTCGCAGCCCGTCCTCTCGTTCGCCCATTTCTGCCACAGTGTCTGATGAGGGACCTCGCTGCCTTCAAGAGCTGTTTTTTGGCTCCTAGCAAACTCCAGAAGGCTTGCTGTGTATGCTAGTTTTTGTTGATACACTAGGTTAGAGAAACATGTTAGCTGCTGTATGTTACAACTCTGGCTGATACTTGAATTTGGTCATGGTAACGCACTGGACCTACCCTGTGGTCCCTGATGCCAATGTTACATGAAGGTAGTTATGCTGCAGTTCAAGTTCCAAATCTTTTGTCCCAACATTAAAAGTGCTCTTTCTTTCTGTAACTTAGGTGATGAAAACCAGAAGCTAGAAGACTCTGGTAAGACATTGCTGTGGTCTATGGGGGCTTAGGTTTTGCAGGAAACTCCGTTATGAGCAAGAGTGGCAGGCATGGCATGGTAAGAGAAGTGGGAAGATAGCAAAGCTTGTCTTCACATCCTAGTTTATTATGCCTGAGATCCTCTTGGGTTTCACATAAATTTTTTTTTAAAAAAAAACTTGACAAAACAAGCCTGCATCTCACAGTAACCCTACTTCAGGTCCCAGATGGCCTCAGCAGACAGGGCAGAGCCCCACTGAAGCCAGGAGCCAAAGCTTCATCTGCATCTTGTGCATGGATGTCAAGGACCCAAACGTGTGGGCTGTCCTCCCCTGTTCCCCAGGCACTTTAGCAGGAGGCTGGATTGGAAGCGGAGCAGCCAAGGCGCGAACAGGCGCCTACGTGGGATACCACTATTGCAGCTGGCAGTTCTGCTGCTACGTCACAATGCCAGCCTGTTTTGCTTCTCTCTCTCTTTTTTTAAAATAATGATTACATGGTTGATCAGGTTGGGAAGGATCAAGGTTTAGGGAAAATTGGGTGAACTCATTGCTTCCAAATTTGCTATTTCTTCTTGTTGTTCCTGGGGAAGCAGAGAGACGAAGGGGGAAGCCACTCACGACCTTCCATATGCCCCAGTACCCACGAATGAGGAACTGCCACCTGGTATCGATCCAGAGTCTCAGTGTGTACATATTCCGAGGGTTCTGTCCAGGTGGTTTGGATAGTTCTGAAATGCTGCCGATTTCACGGATCCAAGGATGATGTCACCCTCCCAGTGTCCATTGGCTGCATTCACCAAGATTTTTTGCTGTTATCATTTCTTTGGGGTAGTTGTCCAATTGGTTCTCTTCTTCTGCTACAGCACCAAATGAGCTGCCGTATTCTCCTTTTACAAGATAGCCTGTATCCACTGCTCCACCTTTCTCATTAAGTAGGACATACTGTTGCAGGCAACTCCAAGAACCCAGACCAGGCATCCCAAGAATCACTAGATCCCCCACCCCTGGGGCTCACAAATCTGGCACCCACCTAATAGGTGGGCTCTGAGACCCAGGTCAGGTGACCCAAGCCCAACTGGATCTGTCACCCCTGGGGCTCATGAACCTGACACTCACCTAGAAGGCAGGCCAAGAGAGCTCTTCCATCTACTGGTTCATTCCCCAGGCCAAGCAACCCCACCCCACCAGTTCCACTGTCCCCGGGGCTCAGAAACGCAGCCCCCACCATACAGGTGGGCCCCAGGACCTGAGCCAAGCTACCCGAGCCCTGTCAGATACCCCATCCCTGGGACTCATGTACCTGGTCCCCACTGGGCTCAGGCTGACATGACACCTTACCTCCGTGTCTGCAATCTTATTGTACAGTCTAGTTGGCTCCCTGTTCCAGCTCCTGCAGGTGGGTACTGCAGCCTATTCCAGCCCAGCCTGATTACTCTCCCAGTCCTAATGTGAACTCTATGGTGTTGCAGCTCCATCTGGCTCCTCCTTGTCTCCTGCCCTGGGGCTAGCATTCTGGCAAAATGAGTAAAAACCTCTGCTTTATTAAGAAACATATAACAAAAATAGAATACACCAAAAATGTTGACAATGAGTTTCTCTGAGATTTTAAGCAACTTTTAATTCTTAGTAATTTCCTGTGGTTTTTTTTTAAAGATTTATTTATTTATTGGAAAGTCAGATATACAGAGAGGAGGAGAGACAGAGAGGAAGATCTTTCCTCCGATGATTCACTCCCCAAGTGAGCGTAATGGCCAAAGCTATGCTGATCCAAAGCCAGGATCCAGGAACCTCCTCCAGCTCTCCCACACGGGTACAGGGTCCCAAGGCTTTGGGCCGTCCTCGACTGTTTTCCCAGGCCACAGGCAGGGAGCTGGATGGGAAGTGGAGCTGCCGGGACTAGAACCAGTGCCCATATGGGATCCCGGGGCGTTCAAGGCGAGGACTCTAGCCGCTAGGCTACACCGCCAGGCCCATCCTGTGTTTTATGTCATTACAATTATAATGTATTTGCAATCAGGAAATATTATGGAAAATATATTTATCCTGGCAATTTTAGGTTAGTCAAGCAAATCTAAAAACCAAAACTCCAACAAAAACTGTTTGCCTCGGGACCAGTATTTTTGTGCAGGGGGCTAAGCTAGTGACTCTTATTTTGGCATCCCCTCTGAGCTAACAGTTCATGTCCCAGCTGCTCCGCTTCTGATCCAGCTTCCTGCTGATGACCTGGGAAAGTATTAGACGATGACCAAAGTGCTGAGGCCTCTACATCCACATGGGAGTCTCAAATGGACTTCCTAGTCAGTCACCGGCCTCTGCCTGGACCAGCCTCAGCCTTAGCTGTTGCAACCATTTGGGGAATGAACCAGTGGATAGAGCTAGTGAGTGTGTGTGTGTGTGTGTGTGTGTGTGTTTGGGGTGATGGGTGTCTCCTTCTCTCTGTAACTGTACTTTTCAAATAAATAGACAAATCTGTGCGATTCTGGGTCCCTAACCATTGTTCTCACCAGCGTTTAGGCTTTATAAGGTTGAATCCTCTCCTGGTCTCCCTTGTTACACTGTCCTCGTATCGTTTCTCAAAACTTTCTAAGTTTTCCACTAGATATATTTAAAAAAGACAACTATAAGGCTAAATTAACATTCAAGTTGAGTATCTTTTGTTTTTTCAATGTTCTATTTGTTTTTATTGGGAAGTCAGAGTTTTACAGAGAGAAGGAAAGACAGAAAGATCTTCCATTGCAACGGCCAGCCCTGAGCTGATCCAAAGCCAGGAGCCAGGAGCTTCCTCTGGGTCTCCCATGCAGGTGCATGGTCCCAAGGCTTTGGGCCGTCCTCCACTGCTTTCCCAGGGCACAAGCAGGGAGCTGGATGGGAAGTGGAGCAGCCAGGATATGAACCAGTCCCCACTAGGCTATCGTACCAGGCTCCTGATTATATTTTCAATACTACTTATTCTCAACCTTAAATTAAAAGCCAAGGCTCATTATTTTACCTGGGAAATCATGTTTTTACTTATTCTCTGAGCTAACTACAAGGTTAGAAAACATGAGGCCTCCTCTGTCCAAGAACAGTACCCAGCATGGAAAATTTGAGGAACTACAGCAGAGGAATGTCATTTATTGAATCCCAAGAATTTTGTAGTTTCTTTGATCTCAGTGGAAGAGTTTATTTTATGTAAATGAGGACTTGAAGTTCAGAGGGCATGTAATCGCCCCCAACCATAACTGTAAAATATGATAGCAGAACTAAGACAAGCAGAGATTTTAGCCCATCAGTGTGTGCCACTTACAAGTTACGTTATGTTATGGAAATCGTGGAGGTCCACATTAAGGAGTTTAGATCTTGTCCCATCACTAAAAGATAATTTATTTTCTTTTACATTTTTACTGTTGTAACGATAAAACTTATTTTTAAAAATTCAAAAAAAATTTTTCTTTCTCCTTTAAAAACAGAAAAAAAAAAAACCTGGCTGTGGCATAGTGGGCTGTGCAGCTGCCTGTAATATCAGCATCCCATGTGAAGCCCTGTTCTGGCTGCTTCACTTCCAGTCCAGCTCCCTGCTAATGGGAAAGAAGCAGAAGGTGGCCAAAGTCCCTGGGGCCCTGCGGCCCATGTAGGAGATCCAAAGTCCCTGATCTTGGCTTTGGCCTGACCAAGCTTTTGTTGTTACATCTATTTGGGGAGTGAGCCAAAGGGTATAAGGTCTCCCCCTCTCCTGTAATTCTGCCTTTCAAAGAAATAAGTAATCTTAAACACTTCTTATTTGAAAGGCAGATTTGTAGTCAGGGAGAAATCTTGCACCCACTGGTTTGTTGGCCAGATGGCTGCAGCAGGCACCCCAGCGGAACAGGGGCCAGGAACTCCATCCTGGTCTACCACTTTGGCGGCACCAGCCCAAGCACTTGGCCATGTTCGGCTCACTCCCCAGAGTGAGCAAGGGGCTGGAGAACGTAGCAGCTGGTACTCACACCAGCACTCCCATGTGGGAACCCACGCTGTAAACTGTGGCTTAGCATAGTAACTCCCGCTTGTATGAGTGATAGAGATGGAGGAAATACAGAATTAGCAATGGAGGGTAACTGGCTTACTCCATTTCGTGCTACGTTAACAAAATAATTGAGGCTAAGTACTTTCATTTTTAAAGGATCTTTAGTTTTTTTGGAGACTAACAGTCCAGGGTCGGTGGCCAGCTGTGTTTGGTCTCTGGTCAAAGCCTTCTGTCTGTCGCAAGCACGGCAGATCCTAGCACACAGCAGGAGGGCATGGACAGGACCGGGCAGCTCATGCAGAACGCCTGTGACTGGCTGCTCCGAGTACTGATTGAGACCGGGCAAGCTGGGGCACCCACAGGAGGACGCACAAGCAAGGGGCCAAACCAGAGCGAGTGACTGATGGCCACTGAGCGGTTTTCATGTTTTGTTTTCAGATGTGAAATTGCAGGATCCCACCCAAATACGAGGTAAGGTCGCTTTCTGTTTCCTGTCTGAACTCAGGTGTGAGGTAAGGCACTCCTTCAGCATCAGAGAGATGTCACTGGGAGCGTTTCCCTAGAGCTGCCGCTGGCCAGCTGGAGATGTAGCAGGGAGAGAGTAGAGAAAGCGCTTTTCCTTGTAGCATTCACCTGCTCCTGGGGCCTGTTTGTGAGGCAGGAAGTTGGCTCTGCTAGGGGTGTGAAGGGCAAGGCTGGACAGCCCAGCACCTTGCAGGTCCCTCACTGATGGTGAGACCAGTACTTCCTGCCTAGGAACCTCTCACTCTCCGCAACCTCTAGGTAACAGCCCTCGACTCCTCTAAGCTGATGCGGGCTTGCAAAGGGAGGGTTTATGTAGCTAGTGTTTATAAATCAATGCCCAGAAACTACAGTGCAGTGGGACCTGGAGTGTTTTATCTGTTGAGCTCATTAGACCAGACTTAGAAAGTTATACTTACTCGAAGAAATTGCAAATCATGAACATTTCTTTCTCACGTAGGAATGCAAACTGCAGACCCCTTCGTACTACCTGGTAAGCAAGGGCAGGCAGGCCTGAGGGCAGGTGCCAGCCGGGGGGCGGGCAGGCCTGAGGGCAGGAGCCAGCCAGGGAGATAGAGACACGAGTACATGCAGAGGGCTGCCTGAGGACGAGGCCGTGAGGACAGACCCAGGCCTCTTCAGTTAGAACCGCGTCTCTTCGCCAGCACGTGCGGATGCTCCCGGGGACTGCAGCCGACTCAGGCTGCCTCTAGAAGCAGGGGCGTGAGTCAGGCATCCAGGGGCCCCCCCGAGAGCGCCGCTGGCCGGAGAAGCTGAGCTCTAACCTCAGGCCCATTTCTCAGAAGGACCTGATTTTACACTTACAAAAGAAGATTACTATGCTTAAAATTTTCCCTGAGATAGAATTAAGGCGACGTAATATGATCTGTTCTCAGACAGCTGTAGACAGTCCTGACACCTCTCTAGGTCTCAGAATTGCCATCTGCAAGTGTGGCCGACACTTGTCTTTATTTCATGGACATGTCTGCAGGATGTATAAAGCCATGAAAGCTCAGGGTGTAAGGCCCTATCCAGTGCTCACATTGTGCTTTGAAATGACATTTTTCGTAGTTGTTGTTACCATGGGAATACACTCACCTGTTAGAGAAGTCAGGTTTTGTTGCATCAGTTAACTGCTTGCATCTGTCCAGTTCTGGGTCTTGCCTGACACGGCTCTGGAAAGCACATGCTGTGTTCAGAAACGGCATGTTCAGCCCACAAGGCGGCAGGCTCAGAGAAGGGTCCAGCGGCTCTGTGGTGGCGCAGGCGGCCACTGCTGGGTGCATCTTGAGATGCTGACGACACCTTGTATGTGTGTGCAGTGTCAGTGTGCTGAAGCCAGGCCAACCTCGTTGGTTCCTGCCAGCCCCTGTGGCTGTGTGAGGCCACTGGAGCAGCACCGGAGGGACGGACGTGCACTGTGCTCAACGCCAGCTCCAGGAAGCCTCCTGTGGCACTCGCTCGCTCTGGGAACCTGGGTCGTGTAAGCTGCCAGACGTCTCTGGCCATGTTTTCACATGTGACACCTGAGGCACACACTGCTGCTCACACACAGCGTGGCAACATGAATCAGAGAAAATTAAATGATAGCTGTCTTTATTACAACCTGAAAATCTTTTTCTTATTTAGGAATAAAAGTTATACAACCAGATGAAAAGCCAGGTAATAAATTCTTCACTGGGCGTGGAGGCACCAGTGGGTTCTAAGTACTTTCCCTTAAGACTCGGTTTTCGGGAGCCTGGGAAGTTTCTGGAATCCCAGCAGACAAGCCTGGAGGGGCCAGTGTTGAGAACTTCTGAGCTGAGTAACCAAAAACCATCCTTTTCGCTGGCCAAGCAAAAGTTAAAGCCCTTGACCTGGAACTGGGCCAGCTGGCGTCCAGCTGTGTCTGGAATGCAGCAGGCAGCTTCCCGGGGTGAACAGTTTCTGTGGGGGAAAGTGCAGATGCAGGAAGAGCATGGTTAACGTATGGGTGGGGCCCAATATGGTACCCTAGTGGTTAAAGTCCTCGCCTTGAATGTGCCAGGATCCTATATGGATGCCAGTTTGTGTCCTGGCTGCTCCACTTTGCATCCAGCTCCCTGCTTGTGGCCTGAGAAAGCAGTAGAGGATGGCCTAAGGCCTTGGGACCCTGCACCCACGTTGGGAGACCTTGAAGACGCTCCTGGCTTTTGGCTTTGGAAGGCTTAGCTCCAGTTGTTGCAGTGACTGCGGGAGTGAATACATAGATGGAAGATCTTCCTCTGCAAATCAGACTTTCATTAAAAAAAAAAGTGTGAGGACTGTACATGCTCACATTGGGAGTCGCCTTAGCCCACCCCTCCTCTGATAGGCGTCTGCGTTTTGCAGAACCGTGGGTTATTGTGCCCCCTCCTGGGCAGCTGTGTGTACTGCACATAGCTTTTTTTTTTTTTTTTTTTAATTTTCATTGAAAAGGCAGATTACAGAGGAGAAAGAGAAAGATTATCCATCTACTAATTCACTCCCCAAAAGGCTGCAATGGCCAGAGCTGAGCCGATTTGAAGCCAGGAGCTCCTTCCAGGTCTCCCACATAGGTGCAGGGTCCGAAGGCTTTGAGCCGTCCTCCACTGCTTTTCTAGGCCACAAGCAGGGAGCTGGATGGGAAGTGGAGCAGCCAGGATGAACCGGTGCACATATAGGATCCCAGCACTTGCAGAGGGAGGATTAGCCAATTAAGCCCTCACACCAGACCCTCACAAGTCTTCTTTTAAAGGCAGTGTCTAAACAGTACTCAGGATCTCAGATTATCCAAAAAGCTAATTGTGATGTCACTTCAGAGGTGAGGACGTGAACATTGTTAGAAAGGTAAATGACCTGTGAGGCTCGGAGATAAGCAGTACCCAAACTTTGCAAATTTCGTTCACTTTGTGCCACACAAAACGTCAAGTCTTACAGCCAGTTTAGATTTCATTCTGTCCCTGTTTGCCGGGTTCCTAGAATCGGCTTCAGAGCCGCCGGCATGTGCTACTGCAGCACTCCTGTGCTAGCACACGGCTGAAGCAGGCACCAGCTAAGCGCAGCGGCTCTGAAATAAGGCATCGCCACCACCGGGTGCCTCTGTGGCTTTGTTCGTGTCTCCGAGAACATCTGTGAAATACAGGCAACCATACACACTGCACTCAGGGAACTCTAAGGTGGCAGTGTGCGAGGAAGGGTTAGCCCACAAGCAAGCACAGAATAAATGGGGTTAAAGGATGTGTGGGAATCTGAGTTTAACATGAAGATAAAGCACCTCTTTGCAGAAAAATGTTAACCTCTTTTTTAATGGAAACACACATTGATGGTAAAGGGCAAATTTCAAGAGTGCAGATTAAAAAAAATAAATCCTCTCCCTCCCCCTCCCCCACACCTCCAAATCCATCTTCCCGTCTTCCTGTCCCCCAGCCCCGACCCCACTCCCCGGGTCCCTGTGTGTACTTCATCTTCAGTCAGGCCCGAGTACACAGATGCGCAGTAACTAACTGAACTCTCTCTACATTTCAGAAGACAGGAGTCACGGGAGTTTCAACAATCCCAGTAAGAAATATTTCATTTCCTCTGTTGGTAAATGTTTCTGTAACATAGAAAAAGAAATGCATTTTTCCTCAGTAAAGGGAACAGAGTTGTCAAGAGTTTAAGGCATTATCAGAGTACAACGTCCTGTCCCAGTGCTGGTGTGAGTGGCTGGGAACTTAGTCATTTTCCACTGTGTCTGGACAGTGTGCTTAGAGCAGTGGTTCTCAAGTCTCACAACACCAAACTCCCTTTTAATATACATTGAAAAGGGAGATTTTACAGAGAAAAGTAACTTCCATCCACTGGTTCACTCCCCAAATGGCCGGAGCTGAGTTGATCCAAAGCCTGACCTGGGAAGATCTCCGTTTTTATACCAGCTATTCAGAAGGCCCTATACTATCTTGAAACAAGATTCATGGCTATATCTGCACCCATTTTAAAAACTCAACTCAAATTTTAACAAACATATGCACTTCAGCCTATAAATGCTGTGCGTATAGCGAAAGGTTCAATGAAGTGGATACTTATATATACAATTTGGATTTTGAATGGAAGCTGCTGCTGCAATAAGTGATGAAATGCAGCTGACACTAAATGAAAACTGCTTAATCTTTATAATACTTAAAATTATATGCATATACATGTGAAACTGCTTTAATTTCTGGGTTTGATCACTGTCTCTTACACTGTATATCTAGCTGCACGTTTGGAAGCCGTGTGGGAAGCATGCAGATGTTGCACTGTGAGGGCTGTGCTGAGCAGTTCAGCCAGCGAGCCTTCTACCTCCACACTGCATTGACTCTTAACAAAAAGCCTCTTGACAGCTGTCCTCACTGCCCCCGGACGCTGGTGCCCCTGGGCAGTTTTGTAGGATACACTGTTGCCTGAGTGTACCTGCCGGTCCATTTTCTTACCTGAACATGCTTTACTGCATGTTTGCTTTTAAAAAGTCCATTGGTTCACTCCCCAGGCCTGCCAGGTGGATGGCGGGGACGCCTGTGCTTGATCAACTTCTGCTTTTTCCCAGACCATTAGCAGGGAGTTGAACTGGAGTGGCCAGGACACAAACCAGAGCCCATATGGGATGCTGGCATAGCAGGTGGCAGCTTTACCTGCTACCCCTGATGCTGGCTCCTAACTGCATGCTTAGAACTGGTCAGTAACTGACATGGCTTTTATGAACTTGACTGTTTCTCTTGGCTTAACTTAGGAAGTCTGAAGCATGATTGTGTTTGAAATCTGTCAGTCAGCCTTCCTCTGGTTTGCTTGAACAGAAACTTACACCAGCAATCAGTTACCAGCTTAGAGCAGCAGTTTTTTTCAAAGTAGTTTATTTGTAGAAGGATAAAAGCACTTATTTATTTGATATTAGGTTGCAGAGCCTACTATTCACAACCCAGCAGTTCCCAGTTGTATTTTGGTAACTAGCTGAATATAAACATGAAATGTAAAGTCTTTTTTGAAACACAAGAAATGAGCCAGTTGCAGCACAGTGGGTTAAGCCATTGCTAGCAACACTGGCCTCCCAAATGGGTGCTGGATATTTCACTTCCAATGCAGCTTCCTATTGCACCTGAAAAGCAGTGGATGCAACTACACTCACGGGAGACCCAGATGAAGCTCCTGGCTCCGGGCTTCAGTCTAGCCTAGCCGCAGCTTCCGTGGCCACTTGGGCAGTAAGCAGAAAGTGGAAGATGTCTGTCTGCCCTTCTACTGAATCTTAAACACAAAAACAGATGAACAGTTAAACCATAACTTAGAAGTATATACAGAAAATGTGCTAGAATCCTAGACAGCTTATACAACAAAAATAATTGTCTTGGCATTAAATTGAAAAGCCTGTGAAATCCTAGATGAAACCTAGGACCAGATTCTAATGGTGTATGAGTACGGCCTGAAGTCTATAATTGTTTGTATGAAACTAGTTTAGGGAGAAGTATTTCTACAAATAACTCATTCGCAGTATTGTTTCCATATCCAGGCACAGGGTGTGAGTGGCTATTAGATGTAAAAAATGACTGTGTTCTCATCAACAGCACCAGGTCCGGTTCCAGGTCCCAAAACGTACCCTTCGGCGTCCTCCGGCCAGATGCTCCTGCCACCGCTGGGGATGCTGGTCATTGTAGTCAGTGCTTCTGCTAAGAACCTCTTTGTTGCTTTATAGTTTGATACTTTACCTTTCCTGTTCTGTACTTGAAATGTACCATAGGGAGCCCATAGGGTATCAAAATCGTCTATTTTTCACTTGTTGGCCAAAGTCACTTGATAAAATGAGAACTGTGTATATTTGTTATGAATTTTGCAAATTTAGAAAGTTGATTCATTTGTCAAAATGTTTATTTCTATATTTCCTGATTGAAAAAAACAAACTGTATATCTTGGTCTCAATTCAATAAAAGTTTATCAGATATTATTTCAGAATTACCAGACATGTCTAAGGTTAATGTCAGTGGTTACTATGAATGCCTGAATTAGAATTTTAAAAAGTATCCTCCTTACCTCATTGAACACATTTGCCTTCAGAACGTATCTTCCCTTGATCAATAAATACGTCCATGCTCTGGTGCCTCTCAGCGGGTCTGCATGGGCTCCAGTAAGACTTGTTCACACTTGGCCAGGGTTTCATAAAAGGATTAAGTCCCTTTCAGTAGTCCACAAAAGCTACATAAAAGCAGATCAACCTTCAGGGCTCACTGTGCTTCCAATCTCACTGTTCTGAGTGTTCAGCATTTTTAGTGAAGACTATCAACAGGAACTGCTGCTGGTCAACTCAGGCCCCAGGTCTTCCGCCCACCCACCACATGCTGAATTGTGTGTCTTCACCTGCTCAGACTGCCATGACAGACTAATCAGCCTAGCTGTTTATCAACAACAGATATTTATTCCTTACAGTTCCAGAAGCTGTCAAGTCCAAGAGCAAGGTATTGGCAGGCATGGTTCCTTGTGAGGGCTCTTCCTGGGCTCCAGGCTGGGCTGTCCTCTTGCTGTCCTCACATTCCAGGGCAGAGAAGTTAAGGGCACTAAACTCATTCCCTTGAAGGGCCCAACCTCATGACCCAGACACCTCCTAAACTGCCAAATTGGGTGTTAGGATTTCAACATCAAATTTCAGAAGCGCATTCAGTCTGTAGAACGTTGTTAGGAGTTGTTTAAATCATACTTGTAGTCTTAACCAAATCCAGTCACTAACCAATTGTATGGACACCGGTCACAGACCTGACCCACGCGTGGATTCACAAGAAGGATGACTTCGCCCCAATCCAGGCAGACCTTGGACCCTATCCAAGTGTCTTTATGTTGCAAACTAAGAATAACTATCAGAACAGGAAAAATCAAAGGTTAGAGAGGGGCTGTCATTGTGGCACAGCTTGCAAACACCAGCATCCAGTATGGGAGTGTTGGTTCAAGTCTCGGCTGTTCTACTTCCAGTCCAGTTTACTGCTGATTTCCTGGGGAGCAGCCCAAGATGGCCCCAGTACTTGGTCCCCGACACTCAATGTGGAGCTGGGAACACCTGGCAGAGTTTCAGATTTCTGACTTCAGCTTATCCCAGTCCAAGCTGTTGCAGCCATTTGGGGAATAAACCAAATGAAGATCTCTGTCATTCTGCCTTTCAAATAAATGTCTTTAAAAAAAAACCTGAGCATTATATACATGACAGTGATCCATACATCAGATGGGGCATAATGAATAATGTTTCCTACTATAAGGAGAATGCGGGGATACAGACTCCTTTTCTATACTTGGCTACCTAGATCAAAACAAAGGAAGTACCCACTGGAAAAATGGGTACACTGCTAGAAGTGCAACAGTGGGTACAAGAGCCTGATGAAGGAGGGTAGGTCACAAGATCATATACCTCTGTATATCACCAACTAGGAAAGGTGGCTGCAAAGTGCAGCTGATGTGGAAGGAAACAGCAGATCCTATGCAACTGAAAAGAAACGCCTGTAGTTTAATCTCAGCTTACATACACGGCACATCACCCAACTCAGTCCCCACTGTCGGCAAGATGCGCTGGGCCCTTCCCATGCTGCTCAGTGCGAGCCAGAGGAAGTGGGAAGCATGCCAGGGGGAGACACCTTGATGCAGCCCACCTACACTCTGCTGTCAGAACCACTACTACAAGGCCCCAGTTCCTACAGAATCCCAACTTCCCAAGGGTGTGTTATGACATGTAACTCATTTTCTAGTGCTTTCAGACACAGTATATTATGCAATTCTTTATCCTATTTGATAGCTGAAGTAAACTTAATTTTCCATGCCTGTCAGAATTTGTGAGCACTGAGAAAAAGTATTTAAGAACACTGAATTAAAATCTTAAATTGTGGTTATGATGAAAATTTAAATCGTAATTCTGATGAAAATTTAGTACTTACATGGACATGGTGGTCATTGCTCAAAAGCTAAATAAAGCACAACTATAGGAAAGTAATTACAAATTAAGAATTTATTTATAAGTTACCTTTTTGGAAATATTTTTTAAAAAAAAGATTACAGAAATGGTAATTTTGGCATATCCTAATTGCTTACTTGTTCTCTAAATTTCAAATAAGTAAAATAATATAAAAATATACTTTTAAATCTTTATAGAACAAAAAGAAAACCATAGTAATCATTAAATACTTGTGGATTCTCTTTGCTCCTCCCACAGATGAATTCACAAACATAGAAGCTGATGTACATTTATACCCTGAAGTACAAATCTCTGACAATCGAGTGATTCTTTGTTCTGTGCAAAGTCATTATCTCATACGTACTTGCTAAGGGAAGCGGAGTTCAGGCTCAATGGAAAATTATCATTAAATACTGATTTTGTTTAAGAAAATGTTGTCAGAATGTACAATAGTACATATGCTTTAGATAATTGTGTACTTCTTTTTATAACCTTCTCAAAAAAAAAAACCCAAGCCAAGAGGACTGTTTTGTTTCTTATTTTTCCCATTCGGGCAGTCGGGAGAGGCCTGACACTGCAGGAGCGTGAACCGGAAACCCGTAACACAAGTCTGTGAGCTGTCAACTAAAAACACCGCCTCTGATGTGGATGCTTTCATTCAATCCATGTTCCACCAATTTGATGTCTTCCAGATCGTCTTTTATGATGCTAATCAAGTGGCTCAGGCCCTCCTGCTGTTGTTTCAAATGCTGGAACAAATTGAAGAAAACGCATTTATGTGTTACTCCATTTAAGAAAGCTTTTACTTTTTAATAGCAACACAACATCCCCCTGAAGCTAGTTTTAAGCACAGCAGGCATATTTAAACACTAGTACAACAGTTTTTCTGCAGCAGTAATAACAGCAACAATGAAATGCATAAAGAACATGATAAAATAAAACCAAGTTATGACATTAAAATAAAACTCAAGAAGATCCTCAAATCCAGCTGCCCAGCAGGGTGACTCGGAAGGCCAGAAGTGTTCACGTTTGGAGGGTAAAGTGGACAGTGGTGGTGACGAGGATAGTTTTAACCATTCTTCAACGTGTTAAGGCACACACAGCTTTCATGGTATTAACTCATTTAGAATCTTTCTTAGCACCCTTTGGAGTACGATTATCATCTCTACTTTTCAGTTTAAGAAGCTGAAGTACAGGTAAGTAACCCTCACCAACATTTCCAATTCCAGAATAATATACCGCACTTTGTCACTTAAAAAAAAAGTGGGCGTTCATGTTATTTATATCTCTTGAGCATAGCATGCTAGAATCTTCTCTTTGCATTAAACAACAAAATATAGCTGAGTCTGAACTTTCCAGGAACCCAGGAGCCAGACTGGCTTTCAGCTGCGTCCAACTATAATACCCCTTCTAAAGCAGGTAAAATCAGAGCTCAATGTGCTTCACAGAGCTGATCATGTTGATATATTTTCTTCACATGAAATGGTAGGACAGCTTTCACTAATCCATCTGCATAATAATGCAAGGCAACTGTAACAGCACTGCCCATTTTTTTTGGTTTGATGGAACTGTTAGTTTTTAAAAATTCCTTGTTTTAAATGGACTCTAGATTTGGAAGCAGAAGCTCTTCAGAGGACAGCCTATTTTCCTGGCAACCTCTTCCTGGAATTGTCCTCTGGTCTCCTTGATTCTCTTGACCTTTTGGCCTAGCATGTTCTGCAGCCTTATCTTTCATTCTTTAAAGCAGGCTCCTGTGTTACAGAACAGAGTAACCGGATGCTGGGTCTTGGACACTCTGGTCCTAGGTTTCCTCCCTGTTGAAGGGCTTTTTAAGAACATCTTAATAGACCTCATTAGAGATGGATAAGTTGGTGGGGTCTCATGGCTCTTTTGTCCCCCATCTCACTCTTCCCCCTTATCAGTTAATCTAGAAATATCCTTTCTTCACATCAACCAAATTGAAAACTCTTATATTGGCATTCACAATGCAATTCCAAACGGCTCTGAATGTTTGCTCCATTCTTCTTGATCCACCTCAAAAAGCCTCTTCATAGCAGGTGGATGTGGCCAAGAGTCGAGACACGCTGCTTCTTGCCAATGATCCTGACCTGATACCTCTATTCATTCTTCACCCAAGCGAGTGCCAGCAGCAACTTTTAGCCATGTGCTTTTCGTAAAAGGTGTGAAGTCCGTGTTAATCACCCACTTCAGTGGGTTGTTGGCGACCACTGACTGGGCAGGAGATGGTTGGCTTTATTCTGAAGCAGCTGGCCATCTCCAAGGCACCTTGGGTAATCCGCTTATTTTATCTGAGGAGAGTAAGTGTCTGGAGGCCCTCGGCTGGCTGAGTGGATCTGTACCACATTAGTAATGTGGACACAAGCTGGACGGCCAGGATCTGCAGCAGGAGCTGCTCAGACGTGCCAGGTGCATGAAGTCACTCTGTGGTCCTTCTGAGCTCCAGACCAAGCGCTCATGTCTAATGACTTCCAAGGTGCTGCAGCGAGGGAACTCTGGTTATCTCTACTACCTCTAAACCCATTCTGTGAAGGACAGGAATGATACTTTTTTTCATTGTGGAAAAAGGTAAACATAAAAAAATAACCATATTTAAATGCACAATTCAGTGGCACGGATTACATTAACAGAGCTGACAGACACCGTCATTCCAAATTTTAAAATTCTGTCCTGTGTGAGCAGTGACTCTCCCTACCTGAGCTCTAATATCTGTCATGCTGCTCTTCCATTACCTGGACGACTCTAGGTACTCACAGAATCATAATGATCTTTCCCATTTTTGATTCATTTATTTTTTCACTTAGCATTTTTATCTTCAGGTTTCATCCATGTTGTAATATGTGCCAGAACTCTTTTTAGGACTGAATAATATTCCACGGTGTATGTATATGCACTATGTTTTATCCACTCGGTGACGGGATATATGGGCTACTGCCACATTTTTAGAGACAGATGGCACCACTTTACACTCCCCAAGGGTGCAATCTGCTTTGCAGCTGACAGTCCTAACGATGCTGAACTCACACTTGAAAGATCTGCCTGTGCTTTTTAAATAAAGCGAATATTTAAAGTGCAGCCTGAAACACTTACCTGCTTGATTTCTCGTAGCAGATCTGCATCTATGTAGTACCTCTCTTCAGTTTTCACTGCTCCAAAATGATTCTGCATCCTGATTTGGGACATGAGCTCGTTAAGTCGGCCCTAAAAATAAGCCCAAGTCAAATGACAATGGCCAACAGCAACCATTCCTAAAGATGTGTTCTCATTCTGAAAGGATTTTTAAAGCCATTATTAGGGGAAAAGAAGTTTTAACATTTATTTAAAAGACAGATTTACAGAGAGAAGTCTTCTATCTGTTAGCTCACTCCCCAGATGGCCACAGGGTCCCAAGGCTTTGGGCCATCCTCCACTGCCCTGCCATGCTCAGACGTGGAGCTGAGACACGAACCAGCACTCATTTGGGACACTAGCGCTACAAGGAGGAGGATTAGCCAGCCACAGTGCTGGCCCCTATTGAAAATCTTCACTCTCTGTGGATTTTGTGTGAAACAATATAAAAGGATAAAGACTCATGATTAAGAGATGCCTCTTAATAAATACAAGCATACAGAATTTCTCTATTTGAAAACAGCGTGACTGGTTCTGCAGAGCTTCCTGACCTGTACTGTAGTGTCAGCGTGTCAGAAGTGCTTACCTTAAACTGGGTAGGTGCGTTTAGCTCACACTGGATTGTATCTAGCTGCACTCGCAACTGCTCTTCATCCGCCTGGATGGCATAACCGCTCTTCCTTTGAATTTCCTGCTTGATTAGGACCTGCACATAGAAAGCCACCAATGACCATTCAATACAGAAGGAAACTCACTGGCGTTCATTGTTAAAATAAAGCAGCCCAAATTACACTAACAATACTTGGAGTTTAAGAATTGGAGACTGAATTTTGTTTCTGCCTGCTTTAGGCAAAAAGCAACATTAGTGCACTACTATATGCCCAAAAACCATTTTTAAAATATGGGTTTTATACCTAAAAACAATGTGCATATAGAGAACCAGTACACACTGTTCACACACAGACTAAATATAAAAATCACTTTATAGACGACACTCTGTGACATATTTCCTGGTAGTGGGCTTTTTTTTCCAACTTAACATCAGAAAAGTTAAATGTGACACAGTGGCCTCTGAAGGCAGACTCCTGCCCTGGTGCCTGCTCATCCAGGCCAGCTGAGGCCCTCCAGAACTGGATCGACGCTCACAGCATTGTTAATAATCTATTCAGTCATTGCTGTCCTAACAGGAATCTGCTGTTTCTAGGCTTGACACTATAAACAAGGCCGTAAACATGTCAGTTCACAGATCTTTACTTACAGGTATAGATTCCAAGAGTCAGATTACAGGACACCCACTGAGCAGAAATATCATCATGCTCATATGTTAGCTTCAGAGACACCTGCATCTCTCTCTCTAATTTCTATTCTCTCCCATGACAAAACCACACTGATAGGATTACATGAGGTTTAAGACAGATTCCACTTCGAAATTCCCCCAGAGGGAAGTCCTCCTCCATTATTCCTTTTTGTTCTTCTAGAAGCTACTATTAGACTCTTCTCTATAAACTTAAAACATTAAAAACAGTCTTAGAAAGCGGTAATTTAATTTTTGTAAAGTGGGTATTGTCCTCTCATCTAGGAATATGCTTTATCCCCTTATAGAGTCCTTGGTTCCAACATTGCACTTTATTCCTAACATGCACGAGTGGGCGCCCCAGACCAGAGGCTGTCAGAGGCCCACGGAACCTGCTCTGGCATGCTCAAGTTCAGCAGGCACAGGAGGCTGTTTTAGGCAGATAATTTTGTATGGCCTACAAATGATGCTGTAAATACCCAGAAGACTCCTGGTAGAAAAAAGTTCCCCCACATTTTATATTTTTGTTAGGAAAACAAGTATTTTCCTATATCCACAATCTAAACAAGAGCTGAATTTTGTACTTATATTTAGCAAACTATTCACATCATCCTATAGTTCATTTTTGGATTTTCTAGATAATCTCTTTCCCAGCGATAACAATCCTTTCCTTTTTAATTAATTCATTTTTATTGCAAGGGCAGATTTACAGAGAGGACAAACAAGTATCTTCCATCAGCTGGTTCTCACAAGTGGCTGCAATGGCCAAAACTGAGTTGATCTGAAGCCAGGAGCCAAGAGCTTCTTCCAGGTCTCCAATGTGGGTGCAGGGTCAGGGTCTAAGACTTTAGACCATCCTCAACTGCTTTCCGAGGCTAGAAGCAGGCAGCTGGATGGGAATGGAGCAACCAGGACACACCACACCCATATGGGATGCCAGCACTTGCACAGGGAGGATCAGCCAGTAGAGCCCTCACACCTGCCCCAGTTTATAATCTTTTTATTTCCTAGCTCACTATATTTTGAAAATTTTAAACATACATTCATTAATAATGGGTACCAGTTTCCATTTATTCTTTCCATTAGTACTTGCTTTACGCTTTTCCTAACTTCTTAACATGAATACTGAGTTTGTTAATTTATTTGACTTTTTAAAAATGAAGCCATTTTGGAGTCAGCACTGTGGCCTAACAGGTTAAGTTGGAACCACAAGATGCTAGCGTAGGTTGGAAATAAAGTTCAAGAGGAAAAGAATGCCTTAGAAAATTGTGACAGTGGCTGGCATTCTGGCACAGTGAGTTACGCTGCCACCAGCAACATTAACAGTCTACTGGGTCAAGTCTCAGGTGCGCCCTGTCTGATCCAGCTTCCTGCCAACGCCCCTGGGAGTGCAGGTCCAGATGGCCCACATACCTGCACCCCTTCGGCTTCAGCTTGGTCCTAGCGGAGCCCCAGCCCCAGCCTTTGGCCATTTGGAGAGTGAACTAGCAGGTGGAAGATCTTTCCCTTTCACTCTCATGCTCTGGGTTTGAAATACATCAATAATTCTTTAAAAACAAAACAAAATAAACAACGAGTGTTGCACATGCTGTGCTGTTTGGCTCTGATCATATGTAATATCTGTTATAGATCACATTCCTCTTCATGAAAGTCTATAATCAGTCCCTGTTACTATTCACTCTTGTATTTCTGTTTAGCCATTTGGGAGTTTTGTCATTTTCAACCATTAAATGGTTACAGTCCCTTCTGTATCACTCAAAAAAACAAAATCTTTTTTTCTGCTATTTGTATGAGAACCAGGTAGCACTGATCTCACACACCTTCTATGTATCAAGGTGTTTGATTTCTTCACTGCGTTCCCTCATCCTAAAACATGAGCCTTAGGAGACTTCTTCATCTTCTACATTCACTGAGAAAGTTTCAAACTATGATTTACTTCTGATGTTTTCCTACTACAAAAATCCATATGAGCAAACATTTCACACACAGACCGGTGATGGGGAAATCCACACGGACTACCTGCAATGTCCGATGCGAGAGGTCCATGAGCTTCCTCTTGTACTGTGCGATCTTGGCCATCGTGGTAGTTTGGTTCTTCTGCAGCTCACTAATATCTTCAGATATGATCTATTTAGAAAAAAAAAAAGACAAAATACTTTTTTAGGTAAACTACATATGTCACTTACTAAATCTTTCCTGGCACACCTACCTATATGCAAAATCCAATTCTGAGATAGGTCTGAGAGTCATCTATCAAACTATAAACACTTTTGTTCTGCCTTTTATCATGTAAGTATCATCCCAAGATTTTTTTTTTTTTTTTTTGTAATTTATTAATTTGAAAGGTAAAATTACAGAGGAAGAGATGGAAAGAAGTCTTTACTCCCAAACGGCTGCAATATGCCAAGCTGGAGCCAGGAGCTTCTGCCAGGTCTCCCACATCTTCCACTGTTTCTCCAGGCACATTAGCAAGGAGCTGGATCAGAAGAGGAACAACTGGGACGCTAACCGGCACCCACATGGGACGCAATGCTACAGGTGATAGTTTAATGAAAGCCTCAGCCCTTTCTTTACAGTGGTGCAGGATATTCAGTAATGGCCAGTGCATAGAAAAGATAAAAAGATAATTGGCATGATCAAAATGAAGAGAAAAAAAAATCATACAACTGAATCCAGATCTTGTACTTTGCCCTAAAATACCCAGTTTGATTTTATGAACACAATTTCAATCAGATTAATCTTGTCCCTGTGGTCATGCCAGGCACATTAACAGGAAAGATGGGTCACAAATGGAGTATCTGGGATTCAAACCACTGGTCCTCCGATACGGCATGCCAATGTCCCTCAACTCACCCTGTAAGGACTGCCCAATGGCAGGCCATTTTGAGTGACAGAACAGAACTAGGTGCTACACTGTGTATTTTGTAATCCAGATGGGTTCCAGTTCATGTCCCTGCTGTGCCACTTCCCTTCCAGCTCCCTGATTATAGCCTGGGAAAGCAGCAGAAGATAACCCAATGCCTTGGAACCCTGCACCATATGGGAGACCTGGAGAAGCCCCCAGCTTCGGACTGGCTCAGCTCTAGCCACTGAAGTCACTTGGGAAGGGAACCAGTGAATGGAAGTTCTATCTGTCTCTCCTTCTTTCTGTAAATCTGCCTTTCTAATAAAAATAAGTAAATCCTTCAAAAAAAAAAAAAAGGAGAAAAGAAAAAAGAAATCCCATTGAGTATCTTTTCTAATCACAATGCAATAAAATCAGAAACCATTTAATAAAAACTAGTATGCTCTGGAACAACCAAGGAATAAAGCAAGGAAATTAAAAAAATCCCCTGAAACACATGAAGAGGACAATAAAAAGGGTCAACAGGAAGTGCTGGAACAAGTGAATTACAAAAACAGTATTTCAATATTTTTGTAATAGCAATTTAACTTCATGCATTACAAACTTCTTGAAGGATTCTCGGGAACAAAAACCTATGGCATACAGCAAAAGCTGAACCATGAGCTGCATAATCTAGTACTAAAATCACTGAGATTTAAAATAACCTCTTCTTGCATCTCAAGGAAAAGAAATCAAACCCAAACTTCAGGAAGGAAAGATCACAACAGAAAATGGACTTTGTTTTTAAAATGAACATAGCCTTTACTTCTCTTTTCTTGTGAATTATTTATGTATCTGAAACTGACAGAAGGAGACAGATGGTGAGAGCGCTTCCATCTGCTGGGAAGTGAACCAGCAGAAGTCCTATCTACAGCTAAAGGCAACAGAAAGGATCCCAACTAAAAAGGAACGAGTCAATTATCTGAGAAGAAAGCCCCAAAGACTCCACCAAACAGCTATCAGAATAAAGCAATCCAGCAAAGTTGCAGGATTCAAAGTCAATGTGCAAAACCCAGTACCATTGCCACGTGTCAACAGTGAATCATGTGGAAAAGCAACAAGAAATTTCATTTGGAGAAGCTATTAAAAATAACTTGGGGAAAAAATTTACTAAAGTTAAAATTCTCTACAAGGAAAATAAAGAAATAAAAGAGGACCCAGAAAACAGAGCTATCTTCGTTCCATGGCTATCTGCACCACATGTTTACTGCGGTATTATTCACAGTAGCCAAGGTAAGGAATCAACTTACACGGCCATGGACAGGTGAATGAGTAATGAAATGTGGTACACAGCCACAGGAAGGATGGAATCCTAGCATTTGGAAAAACACCGATGAACCTTATTTTAATTAAGTCAGAAGATACATACTGAAGATCTCTCTCATGTGGAACCTAAGAAAATTATAGAAGCAGTAAAATAAAATTAAAATTAAATGAAGGAGACAGTAGAATAGTAATTACCAGAGCCACAGGTGGTTATGAGTGCAACTAGGAGATGCTGGTCAAAGGACACACAACTACACTTATGAGAGATAACAGAGGAAAGGTTCAGAATGGACGAACACAGAGACAGAAGCGGATCAAGAGACTACTCGAGGCCAGGGGGGAGAAGGCGAGGAAGGCAAGCAGGGAAACGGGCCACGGGGTTTCTTCAGCTGACTCTGTGGACAGCTGTACTACCCTGTGAACAAACTAAAAACCAATGCACTGAACACCTGAATGATATGTGATTATGCTTTAATAATTGTCCCCTTTTTAAAAGATTTATTTATTTTTATTGCAAGGTCAGTTATACAGAGAGAGAGGAGGAGGAGAGAGAGAGGAAGATCTTCCTTCAATGATTCACTCCCCAACAGCTGGAGCTGTGCTGATCTGAAGCCAGGAGACAGGAACCTCTCCTGGTCTCCCACACAAGTGCAGGGTTCCAAAGCCTTGGGCCATTTTCAATTGCTTTCCCAGGGTACAAACAGGGAACTGGATAGGAAGTGTGGCCACTGGGATTAGAACCGGTGCCCATATGGAATCTCGGCACGTTCAAGGCGAGGACTTAAGCCGCTAGGCTACTGCGTCAGGCCCAACCCTTTGTTTTTTCTTAAGAGGAACATCACATAGAACAAAAGGTAAATTTGCCATGAAACAATCCTCGGTAAATACTCACAGGTGGCAAACATCTTCAAAATACACAAAGCAAAAGCGCAAAGAACTGAAAGAAGAAAAACACATATCTCCCACTGCCTATAGAGATCTCCGCTATCCTGCAACAACTGCAGTGGCAAGAATAAATCAACCACACAAAAGAACTAACAATGTCATCAACTAATAGCAACAGCACCAAAACACAGAATACACACTACCAAACCTTAACTGCAGGGCCGTGGCACAGCCGGGGAAGTCACTGTGTGTGACGCCAGCATCCCACACTGCAGCACCAGCTCATGTTCCTGATATGCTTGGGCAGGCAATGGACAGATGGCTCAGTGCACGGACCCACGCCACCCACGCCACCCACACCACTCACAGAGTTCCTGGTTCCAGGCTTTGGCCTGGTCCAGTCCTAACTCTTGTGCCCAGCTGAGGAAACAAACAAAAGATAGCTGATCTCTCCCTCCTTCTCTTGACAAACTGCCTTTCAAATAAACCTTGAAAAAAAACCAGAAGAATTAAAATCATACTGAGTTCTCTGATTCTAACAGAATTTTAGGAGTCAACAACAAGATATCAAGAAAACCTTCAAGTATTTAGAAATCATTGCAGGTGATAGTCAACCTGCTATGCCACAGTATCAGCTTCAAATTAAACATACTTTTAAATAATCCATTTTATCTAATAAAACAAAAGCAAAATCATAGCAATCAAAAAGAGCTTTCAAGGGAATTGAGTAATATTTTGAATGGATCAAAAATGCAAATAACGGGGCAGATGACGCAGCCTAGTGGCTAAGTCACCAGTTAGAGGACGTTCAAGTCCCACATGGGAGGTTCCCAGATTAGCACTGTGGCTCCACTCCAAATTCCAACCTCCTGCAAACGAGCGCCCTGAGCGGCAGCTCACTATGGCTCAAGTACTGAGGTCCTGCCAACCACACAGGAGAGCTGGACTGGGTTAGCTACTGCCTCTGCGCTAGCCCATCCTTGCTATTTCAGAACTTTCCTTCTCAAACAAACAAATGCTCCCTGCTTGTGGCCTGGGAAAGCAGTGGAGGATGGCCCAAAGCCTTGGGACCCTGCACCTGCAAGGGAGACCTGGAAGAAGCTCCTGGCTTTAGATCAGCTCAGCTCCAGCCATTGCAACCACTTGGGGAGTGAACCAGTGGATCTTTCTCTCTGTAAATCTGCCTTTCAATAAAATAAATAATAAAATATTTTTAAAAAATGTGATGCTGTTAAATTGAGTATATCTAATAAAGGATTTATAAATCATGTCACTTGAGAAACTATGCTGGAATTTTAGTCACAAAGAAAAAATTAAGAAACAAAACTGACTGACATTCAAGTATCTGCAGGGCCATCAAAGAAAGCACACAGTTTACTTGTTTAGCAGTCAGAAAAATGGGTATAAACTACAACATGGCAAATACTAGATCAACATAAGAAAGAGAAGTTATGAGACTGGCAGGGTGGCATAGCAACGTAACCCTTCACCTGCAGTGCTGACACCCCATAAGCGCACCAGTTTATGCGCGGGCTGCTCCACTTCTGATCCAGCTTCCTGCTTATGGGCTAGGAAAACTGTAAAGGATGACTCAAGTCCTCCGGCCCCTAAGCCCACTTGGGAGACATGGAAGAAACCTCCGCTCCCGGCTTCGGATCAACTCAGCTCCAGCCATTGCAGCCATTTGGGGAGTTAAACAGCGGATGGAAGATGTTTCTGTCTCTCCCTCTGTAACTACTTCAAATTAAATAAATTAATCTTTAAGAAAAAAGAGAACTTTGCACTGACTAAAGCTGGTACCAGTAACCAGGCTGCTTTCATAAACAGTAAGCTTTTCACTACTGCAGAGTCTGAAGGAATATTTCATCAAGAATTCTGAACAAGCAGATACGGGAAGAACCTTCAAATAACTGATTCTAAAAGCCTACATTAGGGGCCGACATTGAGCGCAGAGGGTTAAGCTGCCACCCGCAGTGCTGGCATCCCACATGAGCACCAGTTTGAATCCTGCACTTCTGACCCAGTTCACTAACGCATCTAAAACAGTGGAAGACGATCCAAGTGCTGGGGTCCCGTCACCAGCGTGGGGTTCCCGTCACCAGCGTGGGGTCCTGTCACCAGCATGGGGTCCTGTCACCAGCGTGGGGTTCCCGTCACCAGCGTGGGGTTCCCGTCACCAGCGTGGGGTTCCCGTCACCAGTGTGGGGTCCTGTCACCAGCATGGGGTCCCGTCACCAGCGTGGGGTCCCGTCACCAGCGTGGGGTTCCCGTCACCAGCGTGGGGTCCCGTCACCAGCGTGGGTTCCCATCACCAGCGTGGGGTTCCCGTCACCAGCGTGGGGTTCCCGTCACCAGCGTGGGGTCCCGTCACCAGCGTGGGGTCCCGTCACCAGCGTGGGGTTCCCGGATGGAGTTCCAGACCTCTGGCTTTCCCATGGCCCTGAGCTGCCTCTGCAGTCATTTCAAGAATGAACCAGAGAGCGAACATCTCTCTCGCCTTTCAAACGAATCATGTTTTTAAAATAAAGATTTATTATTTTTATTGCAAAGTCAGATATAGAAAGGAGAAGAGTCAGAGAGGAAGATCTTCCATCCGATGAGTCACTCCCCAAGTGACCACAATGGGCATTGCTGGGCTGTTCAGAAGCCAGGAGCCAGGATGTCTTCCAGGTCTCCCACACGGGTGCTGGGTCCCAAGACTTTGGCCCATCCTTTGCTGCTTTTCCAGGCCACAAGCAGGGAGCTGGATGGGAATCAGGACTGCCAGGATTAGAACCGGTGCCCATATGGGATCCCGGGACATTCAAGGCAAGGACTTTAGCTGCTAGGCCACTGTGCCAGGCCCATGAATCATTTTTAAAAGCCTACTTTACTAAATAAAATATTAAGCAAACTTATCATCCAGTGAAGTAACTCAAATATGCTTTTATAGTAAAACTATATTATGAAAAGATAACCATGATTGAAACCTTCATTTTCACATGGCCACAGAAAAGATGTAAGGAGGGTTGACCTGATGGCTTTCAGGCTAGTCCTCCACCTGTGGCACTGGTAACCCATATGGGTACCAGTTCAAGTTTCACTTGCCCCACTTTTGATTCAGCTCCCTGCCTATAGCCTGGGAAAGCAGCAAAGGATGGCTTAAGTGCTTGGTCCATATACCAATGGCAGACCTGGAGAAAACTCATGGTTCCTGGCTTCAGATCAGCTCAGCTCTGGCCACTGTGTGAACCAGTGGATGAAGGATCTCTCTCTCTTTCTCTCTGTAAATCTGCCTAATAAAAATTTTTTTTGAAGTATATAACAAAGAAAATATTCAGCCACCAGTAAGAATTGGATATGAGAGTCTAATTTGTTATGCCAACAATCCTGAATTCACTGAAGTAAAATTTGCACAGTTTGGGAAACTCATCATCAATAAGGTAGTTAATTGTATAAAACTATAAATTTGCAGTGTATATTTTATTTTCCCCTACAGAATAATAGTACCCTTGGTAAAATAACGACAAGTCTATAATCCCTCTTCTTATTCCCCATCCAGAGAATGAAAAGCTAAATGCTCACATCTAATCTAGTTTGATGTTGCTTCGTCATCTGGTCTTGAACCTTCAATCTCCGGAGAAGTTCTCTGAAGCCCACCATTGGCACAGGAATTAACCTGTAAAAATTTAATGGCTCAGTGTCCAGATCAAATCAAGTCCAGTATTATAAAATACAACGTTAAGATTTTTCATAATAATATCTATGTGATTTTATATCATATTTGTAGGATTCTAATTAGAAATGTATAGCTAACAATTTTACACCATATAAGCTTAACTTTCTTGTCTCACAAAAAAGGAAATACTGTTCGGCCAAACCACTGAATTATTTAAATGCAAATAAAACTGGCTCAGCACTCAGCTCTCCACTCCCAGCAACCTGTTTCACAACACTACGCTTATTCTAGTAACACCTTTAAAAGCAATGAAGATGAAAATAAGCTCATTTCAAAGAATTATAATTAACAGCCCACATTTACTCGCATTCCTAGCAGCACATATTAACAGTCCTTGCATGAAACAACAAGACACACTTACTTTTCAGAATCAGGGTTATCTACCTTGGCTTGTTCCCAGATAATAGGATCAACACCTACCATAAAGAAAAAACATTTTTTTCTAAAATAAAGCTGTTTTATAACTTCACAACAATGACTTTCCTAAAATAAGACCCCAAATCCAGAAAAATGACTGTCAAATATGATCCCTACCTCAAGGACACTTGGGGAGGGAAATATAATCCCTAATATAATTACAAAGTTTGTAGAACTAATAAAGCTAAAAAATGGTGCATATTGGAAGGAACCAGTTGTAACCTTGGACTATTTCATAACTTGAAGAACATAGAAAGAGTTCCTGCTAGTAAAATAAGCAAGACAAAACATTCCATAGAAAATAGGCAAAAGATGCAAGCAGGTTAACTCAAAAAAAAAAAAAACAAAAAAACAAAAAAACAAAAAACCACAGCTATAAATATTTAAACACAGAAGCCCATTGTCAACTTCACTAGTAATCACAGAAATGCAAATTAAACTTGTTAACCGTCAAAAGCAATTAACATTTCTATTAGGAATATGAACAGTAGAGCTTTGGAGAGCAACTTACAATATCTAACAGACATGGTATTAGCTAAAAAACTAAATGACAATACATTTGTTCTAAACACATACCCATTCATGTGTTCTAAAATACAAATGGTTACAATCTGTAATCATGGAAAAAATGACTTAGAAGTTAGTTGTATCTGTGAAATATCATGTAGTATTTAAATAGAATAAGCTTTACCTTCATACATTGATACATGCAAAATACTATGAAACACTCTAAGTAAAATGGCAAACTGTAGTTAAATGTATACCGCAAAACCTATTTCTAACATACCTAGAAGTATATATTCTTACATTAAAATCATAGCTAAGGAATTAATAGAGTACAATAAATTATTAAGACTAGTTAGGAAAGAGATAAAGGGGCCATCACAGAGGCAACCCACTTCTCCCTCCACCCAATGTATTTACTTTGTAAATCACAACTTCTCAACACCTTTAACTATTTGATGTTCTATACAAAAGGATTAGTACTGGGGCTGGTATTGTGCATTGCACGCTGGGCTGACGTCTGCAGCATCATGCTTCCATATGGGTGCCAGTTTTTGTCCAGCTGCTCCACTTCTGATCCAGTGCCCCGCTAATGTACCTGGGAGTACAATGAAGGACAGCCCAAGTGCTTGGGCCCCTGCACACACACTGGAGACCCAGAGGCAGTTACTGGCTTCTGGCTCCTGTGTGGCCCAGCCCTCGCAGTTACAGCCACAAGGAGAGTATATCAGCAGATGCAGGACCTTTGTCTCTCTTCCTCCCTTTGTTCCTCTCTCAACTCTGCCTAGCAAATAAATAAACCTTTTAAAATAAAATTAAATCATTCAGTATCATGAACAAGGACCACACTTTAGATCCTTTGTAAATCTTACCACTGTTTTCACAACCCTGACAAGTACCAATGCCAGGTCAATCTAGCTCTAGAATCTTTTCTAGAACACACTCAGATCTTACTTGAATACTCAGTTAAAATGATATAAGCTGCAAAAGCACCAAATATATTATCCATGTGTAATCAAGAAATTATGGATTATTCAAGAGATGATGGATTATTTCTTTAGTTCATAATTTTCAACAATGAGCCCTTATAATCTAAAAAATAAAGTCCTCCAAGATTCTCAATGATGAAATCTATGCTAGCATTCCAAAATCAGAAGTCGTCTAAAATGTGAAAACACTTCTGGTTCCCAAGGTATAAGAGATGTGCTTAACCTGTATATTTTAAAGAACTAATGGGTTAATACAATACAAATACTCAAAACTATGTCCTAAACAATCACATCCGTGACAGGCTGACACTGGCTTTACTAACATCACTGACCAATCCACATCTGCCAAAAGAGGAGTATTGATTTCTAAATCTACTTTCTCAACTCTGTGACTCTAGAAAACATACCAGCAGGAGGATTCTGTAAAAGCTGCTTGATCTGTGCAGGAGAAAGTTCTGTTCTAGTCATTGAAAGGGTTACACCCAGTTGCTGCAATTGCGTTTTTATACTGACTTGTTCAAAATGAGCATAGAGTGTCGTGGCTGGAACTCTTCTAGAAGTACCATTTGGAGAACGCTCAACAACATAAATAACAACTTCTGTCCTGGAGGAAAAACAAAGTATAAAGTATTGAGCACTAAACACTGAAGCAAATATCAATGCAGTATGTGATATTAGTACACTAGCTGGTTCAGAAATGACTGTTAATTATATTTTTTCCTCATACCCTGCAAAGCAAGAAATTTTTACTTAATATTATATAAACCCATAAACCAACTTAAGATTCATTTGAATTTAAGTAAAAAAAAGTTAAACTTTGGCTACTAAAAAGATAATCGCTGTACAAACATGTGCTTGGGTGAAAAGTCCTACATAAACTGGTCCTATGTTCTTCAAATCAGAGAAGTTTGAGTGCGTGGAATGCTTCTCTGCCACTAACACCAAGTGCAATCTGTTTCAGTTATTCTTTGTATTGTAATAAGGCTTAATATCAAAACTTAAATGTCAAATGTAAACATTCTGCCACCGAGCCTGAAAATAATACACAGAACCAGTGCCGTAAAGCAATCACATTTATCCATGAAGAAACACGATTACTAGCAATAATTATCATTTCATTTTCAACAGCTCATGCACATAGTTATAATAAATGTTTCTACCTGGTACTGAAAGCAGACGTAAGCAAATACTAACAGAATAAGAAACCACTGCTACACAAACACTGCTACAATCAATACTCACTATTTGAGATCAGTATTCTGCTTGGAGACATGGTCTGCGTGTCAGCAACAGCAGCCCGGCTGAACCTGCACCGGAGCACACAGAAATCCACAGGACAACAGCTCAGGTGTACTTACTGATCATCCGGCAGCGTCTTAATGCCCTCCACGTTCACTGTAAGGGTCTGGTTTCCTCCAAGAACCTTATGCAATGATTCCACCAACTGCTGCTGCTGACTTCGAATATCTGCTTCCTTTTTGACAAAAACTAAAACTACTAGGCCATCTTCATCTTTATTATTGGGCATACAACTATAACCTACTGCCTGTGAAACAACAAAACAAACGATATTAAAAACGCATAAGGATCATAAACCTGGGTTTAACATTAATTAGCTTAATATATGCTCAGAACAATAGGTTCCTGTTTAGTAATGAAGGGAATGGCTTTTCCCACCTCTCTTTGCCCTGAGGAAGTCACACAATTAAAAAGAAAAACTGATTTAACTCAAGAATAATACGAATCAATAAAGTGAAATTAGTTTCCTCTTCAAAAAAATAACCAAAAACTGTTCACCTGTGAAAAATTCTGATCTCCCCTACTCCTAGGGTTTGTGAGCCACTGACACGACCCTGCAGGCCTGTGGCCGGCTGCAAGCACTGTGGACCCGATGCCATGCGCTGCACTCTGTCTAAGGCATCAAACCTCACACCAGGTTCTGGACACACAAGGAAGTGATCTGCACATAAATACTTCCAGGCTGTGGTAAAGTCACCGTGAAACTCCAAATATTACAAGCAGGTTTCTGCTCATTTTTTCCACCTAAGATAAAACTTTACAAAATGTAGTTTATGTAATATTAAATATGACCAATTTACAAAATAAAAAACAAATAAATAAATAAATAAAAAATATGACCAATTACATATACCTCTCTAAAGAACTGCTTTTCTAACAGCAACAAAAAAAAGTTTACCCCTTGTCATCATTTATATACATTTAAATTCCATCGGGTACATGATGGATCTGTTAAACATTAACTTAGAAATGTTACCTGCCACATTTAAGCCATGCTTACTATTATATACCTCTTAGTCACTAAACAAATGTGCTAAAATTTCAACTACATTTGTCAAAAGATAAATGCTCCTTTTGTTGACAGTGCTCAGAGCTGTTCTTCACCGTGGCACGCTGACCACTACCTGTGGTCTAACTATGAGTTGGGGTCTGTCCTCAGTTGTAACAGCCCCCGACAGAGGGTTATGTAACAGACGACACCACAGAGGCCCACGCAGCTCACAGGAAGCTGCCCTAGTACGAGACTGCAATGCAGCCACACGCACTTGGCACGGAAAGCAAACCGCCAAGCAGGCCTACCACTCAGTGGCAAACAAGCTGACTCTGCGAAGTCTCTGGCAGACAAGGTCAAGGTGGCCTGTCCGTGGCTGTGCCAGCCAGCCCTGCCTGTGACAATGGGCTACGCACAGGCAGGGAAGGGAGGGATTCCCGGCTGCCTGGCAGGGGGCACCTTCCTGACCAATGTTAGACCAAGGTCCCCGAATTCTAGCTTTCGCCATCCCCACACACAGGTGCTCCCCTTTTGTTACTGTTTTCTCCTCAGTTATAAATCACATTCTAGTCACACCTTTCTTTCACATCCAGTCACATTCCGCTCACCTCTAACCGTGGATACATAAGAAATCACCTTGATTTTTAAAACTCCCAAGTCAAAAGTGCATCATACCGTGTTCTAAGAGTATTAAAGAATGAAAACAACTGCTTCTTGAAATTTTTAAATCAAATATCATATTCTCTCTTACACACTCTTTAGATGAATATCAAAAACAGTCCTCATACCTTAAATCGGCAGAAGGGATTTTCCTGTGTGAATTCCACTGGCGGAATGTTATTGTTGAAATATCCTTTTCCCGCGCCCCAAAAGGCCTGCAGCTGATTCCATTTTGCCAAAATAGCATCTCTCTCATCTCCCAGTAACGTTGGAGCAGAAAGAGCACTTGCAGTATTGATCAGCTGGTTGGACTGAGCAGGAGCTTGTGTGGGCTGACTGAAGAGACCACCTAACGCTAAAATATACCCAGAATTAGTATTTTGAAAACCCAAGGGGCCCGGCGCCGTGGCGCAAGTGGTTAAAGGTCCTCGCCTTGCACGCCCGGGATCCCATATGGGCGCCGGTTCTAATCCCGGCAGCCCCGCTTCCCTTCCAGCTCCCTGCCTGTGGCCTGGGAAAGCAGTCGAGGACGGCCCAACGCTTTGGGAACCTGCACCCGCGTGGGAGACCCGGAAGAGGCTCCTGGCTTCGGATCGGCATAGTATCGACCCGTTGCGCTCACTTGGGGAGTGAATCATCGGACGGAAGATCTTCCTCTCTGTCTCTCCTCTCTGTATATCCGCCTTTCCAATGAAAAAATAATAAAAATAAATCTTTAAAAAAAAAAAAAAAGAAAAGAAAACCCAAAGCCTAGTCCAGATTCCACATGTAAGAAGAAACTAACACTCCCTCACCATCCCAGGACATCCGTCCCCCAATCTACAGAATCTTACATAGAAAAAGGGACTCACAGGTATCATTAAGCTAAGCAAGCTGACAGGGTGATTAGCTCAGACCCCAAGGGGGGCTCCACTGGACTCACAGGTCCCTGGGAGGGGAGGAGGGGGCTCCGCCATTGAGAGATGCGAAGCTACGCGCTGCTGCCGCTGAGCAGAGCACCAGCCAGGGGAAGGAGAGCAGTGAGGCTCAGAGCTGGCAAGCCCGTGGGAACGGGGCCGTGACACAAGAGCACACCAGAAAGCAGAACACTTACACAGAAAACTCTGTGTGTGAAAATGCAGGATTTTTTTTAAAAAAGATTCATCTTTTTGAAAGGCAGATTTTAAAGAAACAGTCAGTCTCTTCCAACTGCTGGTTCACTCCCCAAATGCCATGATGGTTGGAGCTGAGCTGGTGCAAGGCCAGGATAAGGAGCTTCTTCTGGGTCTCCCACATGGATGCAGGGTCCCAAGGACATAGGCCAACCTCTGCTGCTTTCCCAAGCCATTAGCAGGGAGCTGGATTGGAAGTGGAGCAGCCAGGACATTAACCAACACCCATGCAGGATGCCAGACTGTAAGTGGAAGATTAGCTTGGTATAGCACTGTGCCAGAACCAGGCTTTTTTCCTTCAAAACAAAACAAAACAAAACAAAACAAAAATTCTTTATTGCTGTTATGCATAATAAATACAAACTAGAAGATGCAGAATAAGAAAACAGAAAAGGGTCCAGTGTGGGAGCCTAGCGGCTGAAGTCCTGGACTTGCACACGTTGGGATTCCCTATGAGCAATGGTTCATGTCCCATCTGCCCTGCTTCCCATGTAGCAAACCTCAGGTGTGGAGCTGAATAATAAGGACACAGTGATAAACAAGACAGAAGTTCAAACTGAAGACATCAATGAAATATAAACTGGGCTGGGGCCTGGCACAGTGGCCTAGCTGCTAAAGTCCTCACCTTGAATGTGCCAGTATCCCATATGGGCACTGGTTCTAACTCTGGCAGTCCTGCTTCCCATCCAGCCCCCTGCTTGTGACCTGGGAAAGCAGTCGAGGACAGCCCAAAGCCTTGGGACCTTGCACCTGCATAGGAGACCCAGAAGAAGTTCCTGCCTCCTGGCTTCAGATCAGCTCAGTTCTGGCTGTTGCAGTCACTTGGGGAGTGAATCATCAGACGGAGCATCTTCCTCTCTGTATAACTGACTTTCCAATAAAAATAAATAACTCGTAAAAAACAACAACAACAACAAAAACTGGGCTGAGTCCGCCAGAGACACACAAGGCATACAACAATGCTGAAGAACATAGCTAACCCAGCATGAGAGGGTCAAGAGAAGCTGTCCCGTTACTTTCAGCAAATGCCTAAGGAGGCTGCCAGCCAGCCAGGGGAGGGGTACAGATGAGGCTGTGCAGAATCTCTGGAGAAAGTGAGCCCAGGAAAGGAAAGCAAAAAGGGCCACTAAACAAGGAAGAGAGAAAACAGAGCAGTGTCATACAAGCTAAGGGCTGCCACTGGCCAGAAGTGTGATAAGATGAACATCCAAAACAATGAACAACCAACTCATGCACATCTATCATAGCCCAGGAGTTTGAAACGCTCATTTAAGAGACAAAAACCCTAAAAATTCCAAATGCTTAAACATTATGAAAATAACGAGGTCTTCAATTCATTCTTTTTTTTTTTTCATTGGAAAGGCGGATATACAGAGAGGAGAGACAGAGAGGAAGATCCTCCGTCCGATGATTCACTCCCCAAGTGAGCGCAACGGGCCGATACTATGCCGATCCGAAGCCAGGAGCCTCTTCCGGGTCTCCCACGCGGGTGCAGGGTCCCAAAGCCTTGGGCCGTCCTCAACTGCCTTCCCAGGCCACAGGCAGGGAGCCGGAAGGGAAGCGGGGCTGCCGGGATTAGAACCGGCGCCCATATGGGATCCCGGGCGTGCAAGGCGAGGACCTTTAACCACTTGCGCCACCGCGCCGGGCCCCTTCAATTCATTCTTAAAGAAGGCACTCTCAAAAAGAATCTAGGCCAGCACTAGGGTGCAATGGGCTTGGCCTCTGCCTAGGGTGCCAACATCCCATATGGAAGCCAGTTCATGTCCCGGTTGCTCCGCTCCCCATCCAGCTCCCTGTCTGTGGCCTGGAGAGCAGTGGAGGACAGCCCAAAGCCCTGGGACCCTGCACCCATGTGGGACATGCAGCAGATGCTCCTGCTTGTGGCTTTGGTTCAGCACAGCTCTGTCACTGTGACCATTTGGGAGTTACCCGGCAAACGGAAGGTCTTTGTCTCCCCTCCTTGTAAATCTGCCTTTCCAATTAAGAAACAAACAGAAAAACCTGTTTCGAACAATGTATGTGGGCTGCTATTATCACAGTTTTATGTCTGAAGATGAAATCCCATACTTACTAGATGGCTGCTGTTGCTGCTGGGTGTTAAACCCTCCGAATCCCAGGCCGGTGCCCAGGCCAGTGCCCAGCCCAGTGCTAGTTCCTGTGGTTGTGCCGAAACCAGTACCAAATCCAAAACCTTTGTTCTGAGAGAACAGTCCTTGAATAAAAGAATTGGAATTGCATCAATTTAAAAAATAGCATCCACCGTATCTGCTTGTACAAAATGACCTTAGAAGGCCTCTCACCTGTTGTGCCTGTGTTAGCTGGAGCAGAAAAACTGAACGCAGAACCTGAAGTTGTAGATGTTGTGCCAAAACCTCCAAACCCACCTAATTTAAAGAAAAAAAAGGATCATTTTTATATATAAAAGCAACTTCTTGCACAAGTTACAGTTCTTAACATGCTGATTAAATCAAACTATAATCTAATTTTTACTCTCTCAACATCAACTGCTTAATTGTACAATTAATCAAGGTGTCTGTATATTGCAAGAAACCAGCAACCAGGTATTTAAAACAGAAAAACCACATGCTCGTCACACGGCGGAGGTGACAGCGCAGAGCAACCTGATGCTGCTCACCGCTGGGACGCCGAGCTGTGCGTGAAGTGTGAGCTTTCTGAGCAGAGACTGCAAACTCAGGTGCCTGCAGGACTGTGCCTGGCCACGCTCACGAATGTACTCTGTATCTACTGAAAGAATGGTTTAAACAGCTTTTAAAAACATTAGTTCATAGCAGAGTTCTATGCTCCCATTCATATTTTTTTTAACAAAATGTACTTTTTAAAAACCATAATTCAACTTAGAAAAAAAAAAAACAATTTAAATGTTTTAAAAATAGCATGCCAAACATGTCAGTGACTGCTGCCACTTGTAACCTTGGCTTGGGGAATTATACCTGTCCGTTTACATTCCAATGCCGGGAGCCAGGAGCTTCTTTCCGGGTCTCCCATGCGGGTACAGGGTTGCAAGGCTTTGGGCCGTCCTCCACTGCTCTCCCAGGCCACAGGCAGGAAGCTGGATGGGGAGCTGGATGGGGAGCAGAATCGGAAGAGGGACTGCCAGGCTACTGTGCTGGGCCCCAATCTCATCCATTTCTAATATGCAAGTTTAATTCATCAACATTAAAACATTATAACACAAAAGGTGTAAGAAAATACACAGCTGGGCCCAGCACAGTAGCCTAGTGCTCAAGTCCTTGCCTTGCATGTTCCGGGATACCACATGGGTTCATGTTCCTATCCCAGCTGCTCTACTTCCCATCCAGCTCCCTTCTTCTGGCCTGCTAGAGCAGTGGAGGATGGCCCAAAACCTTGGGACCCTGCACCTGTGTGGGAGACCCGGTAGAAGCTCCTGGCTTTGGATCAGCTCAGCTCCAGCCACTGTAGGCACTTTGGGGAGTGAAGCAGCAGATGGAAGATCTTTCTGCCTCTCCTTCTCTCTGTAAATCTGACTTTCCAATAAAAAATAAATCTTAAAAAAAAAAAAAAAAGAAAATACCCAGCCTATTAATCATACAATTTTTACTTGAAAAACTCTTAAGAGTAGATTATATGCTGCATGAACACACAAATATCCTATCTACTCACATGTTCTACTGCAGTACCATAAACTAAACATTTTGATAAAAACCTCCTGAATATACATTGATCTTACTTTGATTATTCTTGCATATATAATTTGAATTAGTACACGATAAATATTAGCATTTCATCAAGCTTCACATTACCAAATTAAGTCTTATTAATGGTAGATCTGTATGTGTATAAAATTAAGAATTTCTATCAGCCATTTGCTACAGGCTGCTACCCCACGAAAACAAAACAGTTGCAGTATTATTACAACTCAAAACTTAACAGTGATACCCCAATGAACATGAAATCAAGCAAATATCAACAAGCTCACTTATCACGCTGAATTACGGGCTGGGTGGCTTTATCTGGAAACACAAATTTCAAAGTAAGGGTTCCGTTCCACCCCATGCCAATTTTAAGCAAACAAGAAGAAAACACAGGAGAACCAGGATGTGTGACCCAATATATCTTAACAACAAAGGTAACTCTTCTTTGGAATCCTCGGATACTCTGCATAACTTTTTAACCCACATCCCGAGGAGACATCTGCACTGCAGCAACAGGCAGGGAGCGAAACGCCAGCTTCCCAGCTGGGCTTCGGGACATCAGTCATGTCTACTGAATGCAAATAATTGGCATGGGCAGGAGAAACCTAAGAGAACATAAGCCATCACCTCACATGCGAGCAGCTGAAGAACACGAGTTTCCTGCGGGGTTACTATATGTAGCGAGCACAACCAAAGCGAATACACGCATTCAGTTACAGTCTGTGTTCTGTCCATTTGTAATGAGCAATCCACACCAACACGGAAGTCATCAAATACCTTCTGGAATGCAAGGACGGCTAGCCTACCTTCCTGGACTCTACACTATCTGATAATAAACTCAACTGCTCTGAGAACTCACCAAGAGCCAGCAAAGGATTGCGGATTCTTCCTATAATTCATGTTCTACAGAAAGATATTTTAATAGAAGCTGATCAAATACATTACTATTATTACTATTATTCAAGTTTAAAAAACCCAGACAGGTCATGCTGTTCATATCAGACTTGCTTCTCTTGGGAAACACAAGGACAATAAAATGAAATCCCAATGGAAGATGCAGGAAAAATGAATCATGACTGCAGGAGTCCAAGAATTCCAGGGAAAGAGGCCCGACTGGTACACTAACGTTTGGAAGATGGGTCATAACTCAAATTCTTATTTGGAAAGTCCATTACTTTTCAATTAAGTGCAAATTTCAGAGTATCACGACTCCCAAGGCCTTCCAAATCCACACCTTTAAGGTAGCTAAAGCTTGACACAATGTTTTTGAAACTGAGTCAGCAAATACATTCCCTTTCTTTATAGACCAGTCAGTCACTCTTTCCCAAACTCTGGGAACCATGACAATATTCTTGGACTCAAGCTTGCAACACTGGTTACACATACGGCCCGCAATATCTACCTGCGCTTGCCAGACTGTTACCAAAATTGAACGGAGTCGCCGAGGTGGTAGAAACACCGAAATTCCCAATATTAAAGTTCACTGCAGGATTAGCAGTTAATCCGAAACCCCCAAAATTAAACCCACTGGCGGTGGGGTTGGCAGTCTCAAGCCCACCAAATCCTGATAGGCGTGCAGACAAAGAAATAAACACAATTTTAACAGAAGGGAGGGGGGAAAAGGAGGAGAGAAAGAAAGCAAGAGAAGGATTAGAAGATTTGATAGGAGGTTTCATAGAAGCGAATACACCTGACTTGGCCGCTAACCCTTCATGACAGCAGACGGTGGGGAGGCGTGGGATTCCGGCAGTAAGGACCACTGCAGGTCCACGGGGCAGGGAGCCATGCAGGGCAGTGCACGCCTGGGGCCGGAGAGCCACGGAGGACAGTGGGCGCCCGGAGGAGCCACGAGGGGCCCTGAGTGTCCAGGGGCGGGGAGTCACACAGGGCAGTGGGTGCCCGTAGGAGCCACGGAGCCACGCAGGACCGTGAGTGTCTGGAGGCGGGAAGCCACATAAAGCAGCATGTCCGGGGAGCTACGGAGGACAGTGCGCACCCAGGATCAGGGAGCCACACAGCACCATGAGTGTCCTGGGGTGGGGAGCCACGAGGGGCGGGGAGCCACACAGGGCAGTGGGTGCCCGGGGGAGCCCAGAGGGGCAGTGGGTGCTCGGGGGGAGCCACAGTGGACGCCTTAGGAGCCACACAGGGCAGTGGGTGCCCGGGGGAGCCACGAGGGGCAGTGGACGCCTTAGGAGCCACGAGGGGCGAGGAGCCACGCAGGGCAGTGCGCGCCCGGGGCAGCCACGCGCGTCCCCGCCGCTCCGGAAGCCGAGGCGGGAAGGCAAAGGGGTCTCGGCGAAGGCGAGAGCGGAGCGAGCTCCTTCTCTCCAACTCCCCGGCGGCGGGAAGCGGGCCGGGGGAGGACGGGGCCCTGGGCCGGCCTCGGGGAGCAGCTCGGCCCGCTCGGCCGCCGCCCGCCCTTTCCCACGCACCGCCCCCCGAAGTCCCGCGCGCGCGCGGACGGGAGCCCCGACGATCCGCAAGCTCGAGGGCCTGTGGGAAGCACAGAGGCCCCGGAGCAGGTCCGGGGGGCCCACTCACCCGTGGGAGCCGCAGTGGCTGCAGCGGTGCCCGAGGTGCCCGACGGAGCCCCGAAATTGAAAGCCATCGCGCGGGAGCAAGGAGGTGTAGCACCGGTCCTCCGCCGCCCGGTGCACCGCGCTTTCGGGTCCGGCCCGGAAACCGCTGGGCGGATGGTTGAGTTCCGCCTCCTTTCTAGCCTGGCCTGGGAGACCGGAATTGAGCCAGGGCATAGTGGGCGGAGGGACGAGGGGGAACGCCCCCGGAGCTTCTGGCTTCCGGGGGGCGGCCGGGAGGCGGGGCGGCCATGGCGGTCGGCGTCGCGCGGGGCGTCACAACTGCGGTGCTGTGCGGTGCCCGGAGGGTCGGCGCGGGCAGGCGGCCCTGCTCGGGGCTCTTGGGGAAAGCTGTGTCTGCCGGGGAGCTGCCTCTCAAAGAAACACAGTGAACCCAGAGAGAGAAGGAGGAAGGAAGAGAGAAACCGATAAAACACCCTAGTCTAGGCAAAAACATACAAAAATCCGCAGCAATTGGTAGTTCCAGGTATAAGCAGGTGAGGGTAGACGTTAAAGCCAGAGGAGTTGAGATTCTGGGCAGCCCAGTGAATGTTGCTCATCCACCTTAGTAAACAAACGGAGCTTTACTCACTATGGGGCATTAAAATAACAGCATCTCTGGACTTGAGGTAGTGGCCATTGTTAAAGGCAGACAGTCCCAGCATTGTGGAGTTGCGTGTTAATCCACTGCCTCCAACATTGACATCCACATGGCTGCCAGTTCGAGTCTGAGCTGCTCCACTTCCACAGCACAAACCTGCGAATGGCCTGGGAAAGCAAAAGAAGATGACCCAAGTGCTTGGGACCCTGCACCCGCAGGGGAGACCCAATGGAATTGTACACCCTTGGCTTGGGTCTGGCCCAGTGCTAGCTGCTTTAGGTATTTGAGGAGTAAGCAGCAAATGGAGGACTTCTGTCACTCCTTGCTCTGTAGCTCTGCCTTTCCAATAAGTAAATCCTTTTAAAAATTAGAAGAGGTACAGGCAGTACTGCAGGAAATACTGGAGACTGAGTGGAACTGCATGCCAGACCTAGTCATCCTCTACTTGGCAGCCAGACCTCTCCCCTCGTAGCAGAAGATGAACAAAACCCATCAAATACTGCGAAACTCATAACCATGTTATCAAAAATTCCCGGGCCTGGCATGATGGTTCAACTGGCTAATCTTTCACCTCCAAGTGCTGGCATCCCATATGCGTGCCAGTTTGTGTCCTGACTGCTCCACCTCCCTTTAAGCTCCCTGCTTGTGGCCTGGGAAAGCAGTCAAGGACAGCCCAAAGCCTTGGGACGCTGCACCCGTGTGGGAGACCCAGAAGAAGCTCTGGGTTCCTGGGTTTGGATCAGCACAGCTCTGAACTGTTGCAGCCACTTTGGGAGTAAACCAGTAGATCAAGATCTGTCTTTTCTTCTCTCTGTAAAATCTACCTTTCCAATAAAAATAAAGATAAATAATAAGTCTGAAAGGGAGGAAGAAAGAAGGGAAGAAGCAAAATGGAGAAAGAAGGAGAATTGCAAGAAGAGAAATGACCCACTGGGGTGATGTTGTACAATGGATTAAGCTGCCACCTGTATTGCCAGCATTCCATCTGGGGTCAGTTTAAGTCCCAGTTGCCCCACTTCTGGCCCAGTCCCCTGCTAGTGTGCATGGGAAAGCAGTGGAACCCATCTCCAAAGCTTGAACCCTGTCACTCATGTGAGAAGTCTGGATGGTGTTCTGGGCTCTCAGCTTCAGCCTGGCCCAGCCGTAGCTGCTGCTCCCATCTGGGGAGTGAATCAGTACATCTATTTGTCTCTAACTGTGCCAAATAAATCTTCTACAGACAGTTTAAAAGGAAAGGCAGGAAATGGCCCAGCCACATGTTAACTGGGGGCAGTGATGACCCCTACTCCTCCCACAACCCAGGTGAGCCTGGCAGTATCTGCAGGAATGTTTGCTTGTTGCTCCTGGAAAATTACAACTGGTGCCCATAGGGTTGCGGTTGGGGATGCTGTATCAATGCATACAACAGACACAATTCCAATCTGAAAGAGATCCGACCCCAAACCTCCCACACGTGGAGTCTGAGAAATCCAGCTTTAACTAAACAGTGAGTGAGTCTGGGGCTTAACTGGGCCCAAGAGGTTTCTCCCTTTGTGGTGAGTATGTTGGGAGGGGAGCTCATGAGAGCAAAGGCAGGCCCTAGCTCCACCCGTGGACACCATCTTGCAGTGGGAGGAACCTGGGAGAGTTTGACCTCAGGGCCTGCTAGGAACACCCAAGCCAGGTCAGACTCAGTGCTTGGGGCTCTGGCCACAGTCACCACTGCCATGCAGTGAGTGAGTCCTGGGGTTTGGGCAGCCAGCACGTCAATTGGTGCCGGGCATCACCCACTGCCTAGGCACATCCATGAATGAAGTCACTGTGTGTTTTGGTGAGGAATCAATATGAGGGATTCCCCCAAACAGGGTCACTTTACTTGAAGGTAAGCAAGAGTACTAAGATCTGGTGGTTTGGAGGGGAGAGGCCAGATGATCTGTATGGGTCAGATTGATACACCAGTCTACAAGTGAGACCTGTGCAGGACTTGTTACCAACGAACAATGCTGACCACCACATGCCAGTCCATGCGAAAGCTAGGGCTGGGGGCCTGTCTAGCAGGGCTAGATCCTAGTGCTTGGCAGAATGTCAGGACAGGGGCAGGTCACATTATACAGGGCCATGACACTAACCAGCATGCAGGAGAAACAGGTCTGGGAGTAGATTCTCCGGGGGATGTGTAGGCCCAGTCCTGTGGAAATACAAGTCCCACTGGTTAGCTCAAGAGTTGAGGTGGTGATGGGCTGAACTAGGTGTGACCATGGAAATTGCTATCACTCATGAGTACAGGGACCAATAACAGTCCAGCAGCAGCAGTTGAATGTGCATCCTAAAACAGGGTGTGTGATGGGCTTGGTTGCAATGTTCATCAGCTCATACAAGGCCAAGTTGAAAGGGCAGGCTATGCCAGACACTGGCCTAACACCCACTTTATGAGATCTGGGTCTGGGAGCTGGTCAAGTGGAGGAACTTGGGAAACTCGCCTAGTGGCTCATAACTTACTGGTGATCACATGGTCCAGGCATGGGGGTTGGACAAGCTGGGCAAAGTAGCTCCAACTGTTGGCTAATGGGTGAGTTGGTCATGGAAGGGGGCAAACTGGGCAGGGCTGAGCAAACCTTAGCTCATAAGAAAGCACAGAAATCAGGCTGGAGCACAGGTCATGCCAAGCTAGGCTCTTACACCGACTGGTTTGTATGAGTCAGGGATGCCAGGCTGCAGCATCTGAGGCAAAGGCCAAGGCAAGGGGGAGGCGCCATGCCAGACTGGGTCGCAGCACCCAACCAGCACACATGAGAACCGGGGAGCGGGAGGGGTCAAAGCTGGTAAGAGGAATGTGGGCTCCCCTGCTAGACCACTTGGAGAGCATGAGTTAGGGTGGGAGCAGACCAGACCAGGCAGTGCTACAATACCTGTGGACCACATGTGAGCTAAATCAGGGAAAAGCCAGGCTGGGCTGACTGTTCCTAGTGGTGCAAGCATAAATCAGAGTGGGTGAGGATTGATTGGGCTTTGCCACAGCATCAGCTGGCAGATGCTGGCACTGGGGGCTAATTCTGTCAAGTTAAGCTGCAGAACCACCTGGAGAGTGCATAATCAGGGAGTGGGCCCAGCAGAGAGCATAACAACCAGGAGTGCGGCAGACATGGCTAGATGGAACAGCACCCACCAGCTTGTGTGTGGGCTGGATAGTGGGGCTGGTTGGGTTAAACTAGGCTTCAGTGTTCACTGATATGTAGGAGAGCTGAATGAGATGTGGGACAGACTGGACCAGTCTGCTGTACATACTGGCAAGCTCGGGAGCCAGGGAAAGGGGCGGGCCTGGTGGAGGTTACTGTGGACTGCTCTGACTAGGCTGCAGCTCCCACTGGTTTGCGTGAGGGCTGAGTGTGCGGTGGACAGGACCGGGAAGGACTCCAACACCCTTTCATTTGTATGGAAAACAGGGCTGCAGACAGAACTGACTCAGCAATTGCAACCACCAGCATGAGCATAAGCTGATTGGTACGACTGACTGTCCCAGACCCTGTATTGGCATTCAAACACAAGAATCAGGTCTGGGATCACTTCAGATGACATTTCTTTGGAGATCACTCCAATTAAGCTGCTGATCTCAGACCCCCAACCATGAAGAGAAGTACAGGTTCCATAGTGGCCACGGAGTGTATGTGTCAAAGCTGAGCCTCCTCGGAGGCTCAAACAGAGCAGTGGACAGCATACCCAGGTGCACATGGAGGATATGGCAGTCCATCGGAACCTGCAGAGGACACTGGTACCACGACAGAGGACAGATGATGGATGACAGAACAAACTGATCAACTATTGCAGCCAAATGTTGGCAGTGAATATCTGGGTAAACGGAGACTAAAGTGGACTATATCAGCCAATGGATTCTGAGGAAATTTCATTGTGCTTCGAATCCAGAGGTTGGCAGCAATTCAGAACGGTTGAACTATCAAAATCTCTTGAGCAAGACCCTCGGAGCGTGCCCTAGGTCAGGGACACTGGGATGGGTGGGAGGCTGGGTGGGGTTTCTCTCTTTATCTCCCCCCTTTCCCAGATACAGAAAAAAAATGTGGAAAAAATTTCAAAATCAAAAATATTTCACAGGAAGTCATATTTAAAACTTCATGAATTGTAAGACATTTTACATAAAATATACTTATCTTTTTTTTTAGATTTATTTTTATTGAAAGGCAGATATATAGAGAGGAGGAGAGACAGAGAGGAAGATCTCCCATCTGATGGTTTACTCCCCAAGTGAGCGCAACAGCCGGAGCTGAGCCCTTCTGAAGCCAGGAGCCAGGAGCTCTTCCGGGTCTCCCATGTGGGTGCAGGGTCCCAAGGCTTTGGGCTGTCCTCGACTGCTTTCCCATGTCATAAGCAGGGAGCTGGATGGGAAATGGAGCAGCCAGGACACAAACCAGCATCCATATGGGATCCACTGCTTGCAAGGTGAGGATTTAACCACTGAGCTTTCATGCTGCCCTATAATATTAATTATTGTTTGTGGATATATGCTTCAATACCTTACTGTTGTTTTAAATGCATTTTCCTTGTATTGGTATTTGACATAATTGGGCGTGATGACATGTTGAGATATCATCCCAGATATCTCAACACACTTTCATGTGAGGAGACACAGGTGTGAGGAGCTTCCCCTGGGACATAAGCCAGCTGATATCGGATTTGGGAATACTGGAAGTCTGTATGTTAGGGATCAAGTTTCCTTGATTGACGAGGACATCTGTGACACTGATCTAGATATCCAATGACTGATGGATTTGCACAGATTTCAGGAATAAGATGCATTATTAGAATGGGAATGATCTCAGAGTTCTCTTTTGGACTAATAACTTTAGTTCAGATGTCCCCATCACACAAAAACCCCAGCGCTTGTCCAGCAGTGCTCTCATTCTGGCAGACGTGTCTGGAGTCTTGATTCCGGCATACCCGAGGCAAGGATGCTCTGGCAGGTAGGTGATTTGGGAGGAGCATCACTGAGGGCATGTGAGAGGGAGATGTGGAATGAGCTACCACGGAGAGACAACAGTGTTCGCTCTGGGCAGTCCAGTAGGGGGAGCCACTGAGAACGAGCATGGGCACTGTTGCCCTGAGTTCTGGAACACCGACCAGCTGAATCCACTCTTGAGGGGAGTTTCTGAGAACACTCAGAATAGCATGGCAGATGCTGTATGGCACCTGCTGGCAGCGGAACTTGTTGGGCTATGTTAAAGTCCGTCACAGCCGAGCTGGGACCGGAGGACTCTGGATTGTATCTGTACCTGGCATCTGGCAAATGAGACTCCGTGACAAGCAGCCACAGAGCCACGCGGTAACACATCACTCCCAGCACTGTTTCCTATCAAGAGTTTTTATTAGTGAAACATCTCGTTGCATTAGGAGAAGTAAACAAGTCAATCACGTGAAATGAACCCAAATCATAGGCTACATGAAAAGCATTCTGATTAGTGTTCTCTTGAGAAGACACAGGCGATTTCCTGCAGGCATGATGCCCAGGGTCCCCCTAGGAGAATCCCCTTCTTTCAAACTCATACCTCAAGCGATTTAAATGAAAACTCAGCCCCCTTTAAGTAAGAACCCCAATAGGGGTTAGTCATATAGCATTTGTTCCACTGGACCATTAGTGATCTTTCTAGAACACAAGGAAAGAAAGTGTAGTAGGGAAAGTCTGGAGCTGAAGGTGACAAAGCCCATGCCCCACCCTGTGCTCAATCCCCAGTTGTCCCTGAGAGAAGTGTTAGGTTCTCTGCCTCAGTTTCTCTCTCGGTGGGGTGGGGGCCATGTACATTCTGCAAAGGTGCCAATGCTGACCACTTAGGTCTTTCCAGGGTAAGGGCTGCCAGAGAAGGCGCATGAGGAAGAGTTTATTATTTTCAACCTAAAGCCAGTTTGATAACGTTCCTTCCTCTGAATGAAGCCATAACTTTGACTGTAATGTGTGGGTTTTGTCTGGCTTTCTGGAAGCAAAAAAAAAAAAAATCAAATTTTAAGCCAGCTAACAAGTAATAATCATGACCCAAATACACCTGTGTGGGATTTGGTCTCATTGTGTATGGCATTAATTTTTGCCACATACTGCATTTAAACACGTCCTCTTTGTGTCTGATTATATCCTGATTGGCCTGAATTAGAGGATGCACTGGCTTATCAATTTTATTAGCGTGGGTAAGTAAAAGTACAAGGGAGTTAAGATAGGACAACCATCTTGTGAAATACTGATAAATTCTAAAAATATAGATGTGTAGCATTCCTGAAGATCAAAATTTAAACTTTTTTTTTTTCACATCTTACTAGCTTGGGGTATCTAAAAATCCTACCTTGATTTATAGCGTAGTTAATCAAGTTTCACAAATTGCTCCTTCCAGAATGGTAACATACCACACACTGTGTTAATGGAGACAAAGGAGAAATTGGGACGTGTAAACTAAAGGGCTCTATTACCTCCATTTAAAAAGAAGCGATGTAAGACAAGGCAATGATTTTCTTTCTTTTGTTTTCACTGAAATCCGGTATTAAAAAAGCAAAACAAATAAAGGAAAATGTTATTAAATTCCATGAGCACTGTTTTGGGACATGATACTGGCTTCTCTATGAAAAGCGAATGGAGAATTCGGATGATCTCAATACCCTGAGGTCTGCTTGCCTTCTCAACACTGTGACATTCCTGGCTCCCGCACCTCCTTAGGTCACCCTGAAAATCGGAGTGTCTTCTGAGAAGTGGCTCCTTTTCTGGTCCCCTCCACGACCTTGGCACCCAGCTCTTCCCTTGCAGCATCTCACAGCCTTGCCACTCTGTCAGTAGAATGATTGTCACAGGACGTGCAGGGCATGTGCTTCTCTAATTAGTGACAGCGGGCCCCAAAGCACCGAAAGAAACTAAATCTGAAGAAAGGACAGATCTGAAAAAAACTATTTCAAGAAGGCTAGCCCAGAAGAACTGTCTCCTGGTCCAATCCAACTTGCGAGTCTCTGTGGGGTTTAGTCTGTGGATGGATTTCCTAAACTCAAACTCTGCCACCAATCCTTCAGAAGTACTGAGCATTATCCAACAAAACTGTAGCTAACACAGCAGCACACTCAGCAAGGGTGACCTGGGGAAATATCAGTTACTGACTGCGTTCTCCCAGGGGTATCTTTAACATCAAGACCATGAGACGACCAAAAAAACAACTAACTATCCATAATCATCACAGCTGGCAGTTAGTCCTACTCAACAGAAAGTGTCTGTACTCACCATCTCCCACATTTCTTACACATGACTTAGGTACCTCGGCTCACACAAGTTCCAAAGCCTTAGGAGTTCATCACATTACCTCCTGCTTCCCACCCCACCCCACCCCTTCCCGATTCCTACCCAGTACCTAGAAGACACACTGATTTTCCTGGAGGATTTATGAGCTCAGAAGGAGCATAAAACGCAACATGTAATATCTTAAGCAGAAATCAGATGCATTAGAATGGTGCATTGGATGAGGCTCCTAATGTACCCTGGGTTCCAAACTCCTATTACGTATCTTCTTGGGATTGACATGGAGGAATACAACACAAAACAGTACATATGGGTTTTGAGTACGATGTTTGGTAAATGAAGCATACCGAGGAAGGTTAGGCCAAGTAGTGTCAACAAAAGTGGTGCAGAGACATTAAATTCACAGAATTCTGGAGCTACTAGCACCCAGCAATGAAAACAAAATAAAACAAAAAAACAAAACCCCAAACCCTACAGGGACTAATGAGATACCTGCTAGATGCATGAGAAAACAACTTCCGGGCATATAATTTTAAAAAACACAGTGGCCAGCCTTGTCCTCCTGTCCATCCTTCAGCTTCTGGCCAGGACGCACTCAACACGTGCCTGCCTTCCCTCCTTCCCCAGGCCACAGCCCGTGGCACCGTGGAGGCAGTGCCCAGCTCCAGTCAGGGTCAGGACCAAGCACAGTGCCTTCTTGGAGCCCCACAAGGGACAAGTTCACTTAGGTTCGGATCAGAGGTGCTCTTTCATCTGCCGTCCCCTGAGAAAAAGAAGCAACAGGGAATTAGGCCAATGTTCCCACCCTACCCAGGTGTGAAAAATTGGGGCAGGGATGGAGGTAGAGGAAGATGGAAGAGACTGACAGAAGAAAGTTCAGCATGCATCCTTTCTCTCCCCTCCCCTTCCCTCTCCTCTCCTCCCCCCTTTTCTTTCCTCCTTTCTTCTCCCAGCTGCTGTTGTTTAAGATTCAGACCTAACCTCCCAGCTCCAATGCCCTTGCAGTGCCTATCAATGGTGGCCCAGGTGCCAACATCTGTTACCCCTCCCTGGCCTGAAACATACTAAGAAGTGGTGTCCCAGAGGTGGCAGATGCATCCAGCGTGCTCATGAAGTGGCTAATGGTAGGTGAGGCAAGTCATACCTCCATGCTGCCCAGGGTGCCCAGCAGTAACACAACCATGAGCTCACCATCCCCTCTCCTTCGTCCCCAGGCAGAACCTGCAGCACCCACCCTCAAGGCCAGCCACAGCCCCTACACGCAGCACAGTGGACACACACAGAACAGAGAGGCTCCTTCGGCCAGGACTCACCTCATCCATAGCCCCCTGTCCTCGGCAGGCCAGCCAGGTGAAGACCAAACCAAAGAGCACACCCAGGGCCATGATGATGTAGGGGATGTTGGTGACGATCAGGGTGGTGTTAATCACAGATTTGAGCCGACGGGCGGACTCCTTATCAATCACAGCGCTCTGGAGGGGCAAGAAGACAGGATTCCTGGGAGACTGCACTGTGGGCCAGACGGCTTCTGCTACTTCATTCTATCCAATCATCAGCTACGTTCTAACTACACCCTTCTGGGGCAGAAGCAGATACGCTGAAAATCCACTTCCAAGCTAGAATACCAGAGGGAGTTGCCCTAGTATATTCATTATTAATACCTTCTCTATTTTCCTGGTTTCTTTTCACATAGGTTGGGAAAAGGGTGGCGGGGAGGGAACAAACTCAGAAATACTGACCTAACAGCAGCTTTTGCTCTGCATCATTTCAGTGCAACTCATCCTGCAGGCCTGGCTGCAGATCCCGCTAAGCTTAACCTCTCCGCCTTTCCTGTTAATCTCCTGGTGACTTTGAGGTCTGTGGAAGCAAGGTGCTATCTTAGCCACCTCCCTGCTACGATTAGCTCCCAGCACTGACCACTTTCATCAATCAAAGTGAATGAATGAAACACGCAAAAACCAGTATGTTGGCAGGGAGCTGGCCCGCTAGTTAGGATGCCTGTATCTCACATTGCAGTGCCTGGGTTCAAGTCCCAGTTCTACTTGTGATTCAGCTTTCATCTTAGGCAGACACTGGGAGGGAGCCAGGTGACGGGTCATGTACTTGGGTCATCCATATGGTCAGCCCAGAATGAGTTCCTGCTCCCTGGCTTCAGCCTGGTCCAACCCTGGCCATTGCAGGCATTTGAAGAGTGGACCAGAGTAGGAAATCTGTCTCCATCTCTCAAATAACTGCTTAAAAATGGCACATGGAGGACCCAGCATAATAGCCTAGTGGCAAAGTCCTCACCTTGCAGGTGCTGGGATCCCATATGGGTGTCGGTTTATGTCCCAGCTGATCCAGTTCCCATCCTGCTCCCTGCCTGTGGCCTGGGAAAGCAGTCAAGGATGGCCTAAATCCTTGACAACCTGCACCTGCATGGGAAATGTAGAAGTTCCTGGCTTCGGATCAGCTCAGCTCTAGTCATTGCAACCACTTGGGGAGTTAAGCATTGAATGGAAGATCTTTTTCTCCATCTTGCTTTCTCTCTGTAAACCTACCTTTCTTTCTAACAAAAATAATCCCCCCGAAAAAGTATTTTTAAAAAGATTAATTTAATCCTCCATTTGCAGGTGAAGGATTAGCCATTGGAGCCATTGCGCTGGCATTCCCCTCCCCCAAAAAGGGCAAAAGGCAGTCTTCAGGTTTTAATGTTTTGCTTTTCCTCCTTCCTTCCTTCCTTTTTTCCTTCTTTTCTTTCTTTCTCTTTCTTTCCTTTTTAAAGATTTATATCTATTGGAAAGGCAGATTATAGAGAGACAAAGATCTTCCATCTGCTGGTTCACTCCCCAAGTAACTACAACAGCAGGAGCTGAGCTGATCTGAAATCAGGAGCCAGAAACTTCTTCTGGGTCTCCCACGTGGGTGCAGCACTCTTGCCTGCTTTCCCGCCACAGGCAGTGAGCTGAATGAGAAGTGGAGCAGCTTGGACACGAAACACCACCCATATGGGATCTTGGTGTATGCAAGGAGAGGATTTACCTGCTGAGCCATCACGCTGGGTCCCTAATGTTTTTCTAGAGAAAAATCCCTGTATCCTACATGGGTGGAGGGAGGCACTGGGTTCACTCATTTCCTGATCCCAGCTCCTAATCCTACCTTTCTGCTAATGTAGACTCAGGGAAGCTCAAGTAGATGGGTCCCTGCCATCTACATGGGAGACCTGGATTGAGTTCCTGGCTCCCAGCTCTGCCCCAGCTCATTCCCACCTATTGTGGACATTTAGGGAGTCAACTAGCCAATAGAAATGCTTGCATGCTGTCTCTTTTCTCTCTGCCTATTTTTTAAAATATTATAATTTTATTTCAATGGCAGATCTTCTATCTGCTGGTCGATTCCCCAAAATACCTACAACAGTCATGAATGGGCCAGGCTGAAGCCAGGAGTTCACACCAGAACTCACACCAGGTTTCCCACGGTTGGGGACAGAGACTCAAATACTTGAGCCATCATCAGTTTTCTCCCAGATTATGCATGAATAAAAGTTGAGGATTGAAACCAGTATTCTGGATATAGGATATGGGTGTCCCCCACAGCAACTGAACCATTATGCCAAATGCTCACTCCTGTCTCTTGAATAAGTATATAAAACACATGAAAAAAATTTTAAATCACCATCTCCCTCTTTTTTTCTTTTTTTTTTTTTTTTTAAAAAGCATAGTTTAAATTACAAAGAGCTACCGGAGCAGACATCAAGCACAGTGGAGGTTTTCCAAGCTGGGATGACTCACCTCATTGATATACATCACTGGGAACACCATGGTTCGAATGTTTCCTGTTTCCCTAGGAAGACAAAAGGGGAAATTATTTCACAGGTATCCCTGTCCTGGCACACTCCCCCAGCCAGACTGCTGTGTAGGAAAACTCCAGCACCGAATTCTGCGGGCTGATCTGCACTGACTGCAGACTTCTTCGTTGCCTTTGCAAGGACATGTAAGCTTGAAGTCAATGGCAGCCTGGCAGTGTTACATGTTACACATTTATCATGAGAAGTTTTCAACAAAACAGAAAATACTGAGAGAGCAAATTTTCTCCAGAAGCATCCCAGGAAAGGTTACTGCCAATAAGGCTGCGTCCCTCAGAATGTTCTGGAAGCAGGCAATGTATGAGCCGCCTTCACAACAAGAGCCAGCTTGAGGGGAGGTCCTCCTATGTGCCAGCCCAGCCCTGAGGGTTTTGGGGACATGACCATATTCAACCCTCCCTGCAGTCACCTACAATAAGTACTAATGTCCCAGGTTCACAGATGACAAAGTTACAGCTCACAGAGGCTAGCTGATATGCGCAAGGTCACCATGAGAAAGTAGTGAAGCCAGAATTGTTATTCTAATTCCAGGATTCCAACTTGTAATTGATTAAATTATACACAGGTTCTTCAGAAAGTGGAATTAAAAAAGTTTAGGGGTAGACATCGCCTGAGACCCTCCCCAGACTCCAGATCAGAGCACCAGGTTTGGAGTCCTGGCTCCACTCCAATTCAGCCCCTTGCTGATGTGTGCCCGCACAGGCGGCAGGTGAGTGAACCACAAATGAGAGCTGTTTTTCCCTCCCTCAGCCTCTTACATACATTTTCAAGGGACTTTATAACAATACATTAGTTTTAAAAAGGTAACTTCTTTTTCCCTTGGAGCAAAAAAAATGTTGACATGCAGGCAAGTTTTTCCACCATATGTGTTTCTCGTGAATGTTTTAAAGGTCTCCTGTACTGTCTGAGAAGGTGGCAAAAGGGATTCTTATTAGGATTAAATCTGGCCATTTCCACGGGTAAAGCAGACCACTCATCACTTACTGGAAGATAATTTGAGGAGATTCTACACAGGATTCTATCCTGGGTGGTTTTTGTTTTGTTTTGTTTTGTTTTTTCCCTCCAATCAATATCGCACTTTCTAAAAAAGCCCCTTGGACAAGTGGGAGCAGGACCCTCTACTTAGGAATAGTAATTAAGAAGAGGTCTATGGCCACAGTGGAGGAGGACAGGCCGGACTCCAGAGCCCATTTTAATTGCCCACATGAGAGCTTGCTCCTGGCACCATGGGAACGCCATGACCAGAGCACTCGTGGGTGAGGGGGACTGCCCAGTGGCAGCTACAGAGCCCCACGCTTCTTATCTGCAAAGTTGAGGCAGGACAAGCTTGCAAGTTGATGCATAGAAAGTGTATACAACAATGCTGGGCCTGTGGCAAGCACTTGCGCATGCTTAATGAACCACAGCAAAGACATTCAAAGCTCAAGGCCACCAAGAAAATGCTGCCCCTGCCCTGTCCCCTAAGTACAGTGGGGGCCAAGCTCAAGTGAGCATGACACGTCTCTCCTGACCCATCCAACCTCACGGGAGAGCCAACCTTGCAAACCACCCCTACCTCTGTAGAAAGAAGCAGAACTTACGGGAAGTCATCCAGTTTCTTGACATAAACGTTGATCTGGAATCTCTTGGCTGCTTTTAGGATAATTCCAGTCAACTGCAAACCAGATGTGAAAAGGACATGTTAGGACTGATGAAACTGCCAATCTGACTTTTTCTCCCAGGGCACCAGGTCTGTGTGGCTGTGATAATCAGGCAGGCTGTGACCATGCCTGATGGGCAGAGTGGGACAGGGGAGGGAAGATGCTCAGAATGGAAGAACTATGGCTGGGCAGGATGGACCAAGCCTTCTCCAATGTTCACATGGAAGCCCCATAAGATACAGATTCAGATTTGGGTTGTGACAAGTTCCCAGGAGCCTGCCCCACTTTGAGTAGCAAAGCCATTGAGGACTCAAGCAGGAAGTGGGGATCCCACACATCCCTTGTTGGGGCTACAACTCCAGGCAGCTGTCAGAGGGTCAGGAGGAGGAGGGTGGTCCCTGCCAGGAAATGCTGCCATGTCCAGCCAGCCTCTCCACCCAAGAGCAGCTCCACCCTTGCCCTTGGAGGGTAGGGGGCCTGGGTATATGCCCTGATGACCAGCGCCATTTGCACTCCGGCTGGTGAAAGGGCATTGACCAATGGTGAAGAGTGAAAGGCAGAAAGCCACAGCTGGCCTCACTGACCAAAGGATGGGATCCCTGTTTTCTTGGATAAAGGGATGTGGCTAAGAGAGGAGTGTCCCTAAAACACTGTGCCAAAAAGATGCTCATGCCCTTCTTTCTCATTCCTTGGTGTGTTCAAAGTCTCAGGAACGAAGGTTTCTGTCCTCAGTCTATACACTGAGCTGAAGCGATAGCCATGTCCCATCAGGATGGCTGTAGCTTTTCTCCTCTGGAGTATAGAACTAAAGCAGATGCATCTCATTTATTTAAAATTGGCAGGGTCAAAGGTGCCTGTAGGGAAGTTTGTCCAAAGTGACAGAAGATGATCTACATGTCATATTTACTTGTTCACATGGAAATGTAAATACTGCCCAGTGGGAAGGTGGCAGAGGGCTAACTTGCACCTTGAGTGACTGTACCCCGATGGCAGCTACGCGTGTGGGGACAAGGTTGGCCATGCGGATCTGACCAAGCTCCGGTGCCTCTGGGACTGGCTTCCAGTGGCTGCATTTGTGTAGTTAAAGCTGCTTTGCTGTATTTCCACAGCACTGGACCTGCAGGACCCGGGAAGGCACCTCTGTTTGCAGTGAGCCATTTCCTCCATGTGAACACGTCTACACAAGCAGACAGTGTTTCTAAAGGGGGCTCAGCACTGTGTGAGTGAGGGCTGGGGGAGGGGCAGGTACTCACGGGGTTGACGTCCACAAAGGTCTCGTGCTCCTCCTTGTTGGGATGCATGCCGCCTATGGCAGAAACAAACTTCTCATCTGCCAGGTAAAAGTGTGGGAAGGACATGATGATGGGTGCACCTGTATTTTAAGAAAAACAGAGACAGATGGATGGTGTTCTTAAAATTCAACATGGACATGCACTTCCTGACCACACTCCTGACTCCTACAGGGAAATAAAACAAAGAGGTAGATATGAAGAAAGGGGTGGTGGTAGTATGTTGGTTTGACTAGCTAATCCTCCATCTCCAAGTACTGGGATCCCATGTGACTACCGGTTCGTGTCCCAGCTGCTCCACTTCCCATGCAGCTCCCTGCTTCAGGTCTGGGAAAGCAGTGAAGCATGGCCCAAAGCCTTGGGACCCTACACCCGCATGAGAGACTCAGAGGAGGCTCCTGGCTCCTGGCTTTGGATTGGCTCAGCTTTGGTTGTTGTGACCATTTGGGGAGTGAACAAGCAGATAGAGATCTTTCTGTCTATCCTTCTCTCTATAGATCTGTATTTTCAATAAAAATAAATGGAATCTAAAAAAAAAGGAAGGAAGGAAAGAAAGGAAAGAGGGGGAAGAGGGAGGCTAAAATGTCATCCTGTGTCTCCTAGTTCTGAACTGGTGCTTTATTTTCTGGTGGTTTATTTGTCCCTGTGTCACTGAATCCTGCGTTATATACTGAGTCCTGACCAAATCACTCACTCTTCAACATGTACTCAACCTAGAAAGAGGAAGGTTGCCCATGGTCCACTGCAGTTTTAACTATGATGCCCCCTTTGCATTGGATGAGGTTCACGGAAGGTACAGACTGGACCAGGGACAGGACATCAAACTGTCAGATCGGAGAGGCAGAATCTGAGTCACCTGGGGTTGGCCAGCACCTCTTGAAGCCCTCACCCCAGCTACACTCCTCTCAGCGAAGATGCCATATTCTGTCTTCTGCTTGTTTCTATGTGATTGTACACTGTTTTAGCAGAGGTGGGCATGCTCTCCTTGAACAGTTGCTCAGCCGTGTCCTGTGCCCAGCCTGCAGCCAAATGGCCCACATGAAGACTCTGGTTTTGTTCTTCTTTTTCCAATTCATTGTAAGAACCAACTAGAGAAGCAGGGTATTAAAGAAAATCCATTCTACACCTGGCTAGGCAAAAGAAGAGAGGGACCTAACAACCACTGCCCAAGAGAAATTTTTGGAGAAGGGAGTTTGTTGGAAAATAATTTCAATTGCTCCCACACCCACTTGCCCACAGCCAAAGGGCACACATCATTCATTACAGATAGAAGCATTCCAAGCCTTGGTTGCCACAGTTAGAAAGACCGGTCAAGAAATGCCCACAGCGGGGGAGAGTCACTGTGGGTAATCCTGAAGCCCCCAAAAAGGCTGTGCCCCTGAAAGGTACACGCAGGGACACTGGCAGTGTTGTTCCGACAGGAAGCAACCACGCTGCCCCCTATTTAGCACAAATGAACTTGGTTTCTCCATCCCTGGGGATCTGTGTCCAGACGGGTGAGGCGCCCAGGTTCACCTGGCCGCACGACTCGGAACATGAATGCAGCAGATGTCTCAAACACATGAAGAGAACACCAGCACACAGCAGGTGCACAGTCAACTCCACTGAAGTGGTGGTCAAGTCTTCTAAAGCTACCACATGGCACTCTCCAGTCCCAGCACCTCTCTCTCTCTCTCACACACACATACAAGGCTACCATTTTCCCCCTCTCTGGAGGGAATGTTACTGGATAGCTATGTTATAACACATTTACTCTAGCAGATCCTCCCTCATGATGCCTACTAATCTGGCAGACAGCGAGCATTCTCCGTCGAGCCCTGATCCTTCCGCCCCTCTTCTGCTCCCAGAGCACTTACCATTCTTGCAGACGCTGACATTCAGCACTCCGGAGCCCAGGCAGTTGCCTTCGGGGAGACAGAAGCCGGCATTGGCTGAGTTGTTGGCCAGTATTTCCTCAGGCACCCTGAACCGGAGGGCGGGCACTCCCTGAACACTCTCATAGCCGCTGAAAGTCACGTACACGGACCTGTGAGGGCATCAGGAGACGCAGTGAACTCCAGTTCTGGGCAGCAGAGTGAGCCCGGAAATGGGGAGCTGGTGGTTCAGCAGGTGCGTGTGAGAGAGGGGTCTAAGGGAAGAGCTCACTCAAGGTGAGTGAAGAGGCAGCCACCAGGTTAAAGGCCAAATGAGGGCAGAATGAGGAGGGGGAACTGATTGCCCTTAGAATGAAGACTCATTTAAAGAAGAAAGATTGAGACAGAAAGTCCTCCACGCCAGCAGGGGCGCCCTCAGTGTGGGCACCGAACAAGGGCAGGGAAGCAAGGGTAAGACATGAGCAAAACAAAGGTAGGAAGGGCAGAGGAGGGCTTGGCCTGTTGCAGCCCTGTGCCAGCAAAGACGCTTCAGTGGCCAACAGCCTGCAGGTGTGACACTGATCCCCTGAAATCATATCACCTGGTGATGCTGCGGCCCTCTTACTTGTAGGCATGGTACATTCACACAGCAAAACTGGCTAACAATGCCTTTCTTAAAATGTGTCCCTACCATTAAACTTATTTCCCCAAATTAAAAAATTGTCTCCATATTTTTCTCCAGCCATTTATTTCAAGGGAGTGCAACATTATCTTGCCTTTAGCTCCTACTGAGGTGCCATATAAACACCACCGCCTGGCACAGGCAGCTTAACCCAATGAAACACAGTGCTGACTCTGGCATTTTCTATTTTTTAAAATTATTTTACTTTTGAGGATTTTTTACATAGTTGATTAGGGTGCAAAGGGCCACAGGCTACAGGAAAGTGGGTGAGACCACCATTTCCACATTCTTTTTTTTTTTTTTCCTTCCTGCAACTGGGGGGAAGGGGAGAGATAAGGAGAGAAGCCAGACCCAGCCTCCCAAATGCCTCTGCATTCTGGAATGGACAACAGCCACCCAACACCATTCCAGGGTCAATGTGGATCAAGCTTAGAGGGTCCTGCTCAAGAGGTTTCGATAGTTCAACAGTTCTGAATTACTGCCGATCTTACCACTCCAAGCACTATGAAATCTCTCCAGAATCCATTGGCTGACATAGAGTCTTAGAGTCTCCGTTTGCCCAGATATTTACTGCCAACACTTGGCTGCAATAGTTGATCAATTTGTTCTGTCCTCTGTTCTCTGTTATGTTACCAGGTGTCCTCTGCAGGCTCCAATGTGCTGCCATATCCTCCATGTGCACCTGGATATGCTGGTCACTGCTCCATCTAAGCCACTGAGGAGGCCCAGCTCTGACACATGCATTCCACGGTCAGATCATGGAACCTGCAATTTCCACCATGGTTGGAGTTCTGAGTTCAGCAATTCAGTTGGGCAGATTCCCCACAAACACTTCATCTGAGGAGCCCATACCTGATTTTTGTGTCTACTTGCCAATACAGGGTCTGGCACAATCCATTGCACACTGATGGTTACAATGGCTGGGTCAGTTCTGTTTCCAACCCTGTCTTCTTTGCAAACCATTGTCAGTCCAGCCCAATCCTGCCCACTGCACATTTGGCCCTCAGACAAACCAGTGGGAGCTGCAGCCTAGTCGGAACAGCCCGCAATAACCCCACCAGTCTTGACCCCCATCCTGGTTCCTGTGCTTGCCAGTATGTACAGCAGACTGGTCCAGTCTGTCCCACATCCCGTTCAACTCTCATACATGTCAATAGGCATTGAGACCTAGTTAAACCCAACAAGCTCCACTATCCAGCCCTCATAACTGCCAACGGGTACTACTCTCTAGCCATGCCTATCCCAGCCCTGGTTCTCATGCTTGCTAGTCGGAGTGGCAACCCAAGAAGGAGGTGCCCAGTATTTCCCTAACAGGCCCACTCCCACTCCGGGACCTTGTACTCTCCAGGTGGTTCTGCGGTAAAGCCCAACCAACCCTCACCCACTCTGGTTTATGCATGCCCCAGTAGGAACAGTCAACCAAGCCTGGCTTTTCCTTGATCTAGCTCACATGCAGGCTTACTAGTGGAAGTGGTGGTCCAGCAGGGGAGTCCCATGTAGTCCCCCTGCCAAGTTCGCTCCCTCCCTCTCAGGTTTCGCATGGGCTGGTTGGGCGCTGCAGCCCAGTCTGACTTGGCCCACCTCACCTTGGCATTTGCCAGTGGGTACTGTATTCTGTCTTGGCCCAGCCCAACCCCAATTCCAGCTCATGCTGGTGGGGGCTATATCCTAGCCGAGCCCATCCAGCCCCTAGTCCTGGCCCTCATGTGAACTGGCTTGTGCTGTGGCCTGACCCAGCCCAACCCATACTCCATTCTGATGCTCAGATTCACCAGTGGGTGATGTGAACTGGCCTGGTTCACCCCTGACCTGTGCCAAATGTATAATGTTTACCTGGCCTGGTCTGGGCTGCTCCCTTTCTTGGTTCTTGCTCTCATCTGCAGGGACTGTCTCCTGACAGAGGAGTTCCCCAAGCTCCTCTCTCAGAACCTCCCCCAATGCCAGATCTTATGCACACTAGTGGGTTCATGGGCCAGCCCTACTTAGTCTACCTCCTGTCCTGGCAGGAACAGTGGCCTTTCCTGACTGGCCTTCATCTGTTCTAATTCTTACTGTTGGGTGCCACAGCCCAGCCAAGTCTGGCCCACACCCAGACACAGCTCACAGGTGGCTCAGTAGAGGCAGACACCTAGCCCAGCCCATCCTACACCTACCCTGGTTCTCATGAGCACCAGTAAGATGGCATACTGCAGTATGGCCCAGTCTGGCACATCCCAGACGCAATCCATACTTGTACCAAGGGACCATGACGACGCCGTGCACATGTGCCCTACAGAATTGCGAGTTTGCCTCTCTCTGGCTGTCCTACCAGTGCCACACGCAGCTTGTCTGGGTTGCACTCCTCACACGCAGATGCATGCCCTCTGCCCCCCACCAGCAACCAACATGTTAAAACCAACTGGGCCGCTGGCTGGAGGGCAGCGGGATGTCCCCTGTGCGAGCTGGGTGGACTCACTCTGCAGCGCACAGACAGCAGGGGCAGAGAGGCAGGGCAAAGTGAAGCACCAGGTGGGATGAACAGACAGAGCGGCACAGAGAAGGGGGAGATGGGGCGGGGGCGGTCCAGTGATGTTTCTGGTGTGGCTGCCAGCACAGCAGGTGCGCCTAGATGCTGGAAGAACAGCAAAATGGAGGGGCGAGGCCGCTGAGGACTGCTCCATTCCTGCCCCAGATGTGGGGCTGTGGAGGAGGCCCGCAGCAGGGGTGGCTGGGTGGGATGCCCACACAGCTTCTGCCACTGGACTGAACAAGCACAGATAGGTCAACAGGAAGGTAACAGCTCAGAAATCCCTCTAAACATGCATACATAACCCTGTGTCACTTGTTCATCTTCCATGGATCTCGGACCAGGTCTCAGCCTTCAGGCTGGGTGGTGCAGCCAGCACCGCCTGTTGCCTACAATAAGTGCAGGTCCCTGAAAACTGATGGCAGTAGCCCAAATGAGTGATATTCCTCACCTTATTTTCTAGGCAGGGAAAGTGAGACACAGGGTGCTTTACTAACTTGCCTGCGGCCACACAGCTCTGAAGGATGGAGCTGTGATGATACAGTGCAGGTGGGCTCAGGCTCTGGCCATGGACCACTAACATCCCTTGAGGGCACTTCAGATGCCCAGGGGGAACAGTTGAAAGAAAACTTTATTCTGTTGCAGATATAACATCCTTACATTTTGGGGTCTTCGAAGAATTCATGGGAAACGCATAGGACATAGAATACAGGCATAGATTTCAAAACTTTTTTGTCCTAGAAAAAGGAACTTTTTGAAATGCTCTTGTCTGGTAGGCTCGATGCAGCCATTAACATTATTCACAGCGAGGCATAAATATCTACAAATAATGTTTAAGAGAATAATATTGTCTCCAAAAGATTATTCCTCAAGCTCTGGGTGGTTTACAGTCTACCTGATTTTTTTAAGGAAAAAAAAAAGTCCTTACCTGCAAAAATCTGATGGGAAGACATACAGGAGTTCGTCGCTGCTGATTAGGGGGTGGAAAGTATCTCCGTCCGTGCCATTGATCATGTTGCACTCAGCCGTGGCCCACCACTCCAGCGCCCTGATTGGACGCCCAGGAGAGAAGAAAGGTAAAGTTCTGTCCATGCTGTGCCTTTGCCAAGCTTTGCTGTCTGTCCATAGCATCTTTTTTTTTTTAAGGTTTATTTATTTTTATTTGAAAATCAGAGTAACAGACAAGATTTTGCATCTGCTGGTTCACTTTCCAAATGGCCACAACAGCCAAAGCGGGGCCAGTCTGAAGCCAGGAGCCAGGAGCTTTGTCTGTTTCCCCCCCATAGGTGCAAGGGCTCAAGCACTTGAGGCATCCTCTGGTTGCTTTCCAGGCTCATTGGTAGGAGGCTGGACCGGAAGTAGCATCTTATTCACACGTAGACACAAGAGTGCCAGGGATGGGATCAAGAGGAGAAAGAGCAGGCTCTGCCACAGAGGCAGCTGTGTTCCAAGTGGAGCAGCCTGACACAGGGGGGGTATTCGTAGCGGATTTTGGCTGTTCAGCATCCATTCTCCTTCCCCCCTACTTGTAGCCATGGGCTCCCTTCCTCACATGCACTGTGAACTGAAACAGCATCGGGACAGACAGACAGACTCCCCAGATGTCCTTAGCATCATCCAGGGCCCGGACTGAGAATGGCAACTCCGGCCAGGCCTGTCACGTGCGTGGCGGGAACTCAGGCAGGGGAGTCACCACCCTGGCCTCTGAGGCTGCATCTAGCAGGAAGCTGGGGTGAGGGGTGGCAGCCAGGACCTGAACCAGGTACCCTGGTTGTACCCTGATGTGGGATGCGTGCATTTTGACTGCTGGATCAAATGCCCAACCCGGGTTTTACTCCTGCTAATGGCATTAACTGGAGCCTTGCATAGTGTCATCCCCCAGAAATTCTGTAAGGACAAACTCAGATGTATTTCACCTTCAGATAAAAACACAGCAGCAGTCCCAAAGCACAGGGTTTCAGCAGAGGACACCCTCTCCCCACATCCCTCAAGTTCAGACAAGAGTACTGGGCCCTGGTGCTACCTATCGTACCCATCGTACCAGGAGTGAGACGTCCCACTGCCTGCAGGTCATGCCTGGCCGTCACAAATGTACAAATAGTCAAGACTGAACTTAGAGGCTGGCCCTGTGGCATATCAGGCTAATCCTCTGTGTGTAGTGCTGGCATCCCATACAGGCACTGGTTCTGGACACAGCTCTGCCTTTCTGACCCAGCTCCCTGTTTATGATCTGGAAAAGAAGTAGAGTATGTCTCAAGTCTTTGGGTCCCTGCCCCCATGGGGGAGACCCAGAAGAAGCTCCTGGCTCATGGCTTTGGATCAGCCATTGTGGCCATTTAGAGAATGAACCGGCAGACAGAAGACCTTTCTCTCTGTCTCTCCTTCTAACTCTATTATAAAACATGCCTTTTAAATAAAAGTACATAAATCTCTTCTTAAAAAGCTTAACTTAGGAAGTATGTAACTACCAATCCGGACTGTGACATTAAAATTACAATGCTATTTATACCTGTTCATCAAAAAATGAAGACCCACTCTTAGCTAAATGTGTACTTACGTCTTTCCTTTCCATTCCACAATCTTCGTGAAGTTAAGGTAATTGTCTTCTCCAGTGAGGAACACATAGTCTCCATCATTAGTCCCATTTTTCTGAAAATAAACAAGTATGATCATTTTGCAGTGACGGTAGATGTGGCTGGGAAACTCGGTTGTTGGGTCAAGTGCCTGTCTAGACGTGGCAGCAAGGCATTTTCCACGTGTGTCCACACTCAGACCACTTCCACCGAGAGTCCTTCAGTTGGGGTTCAATCAGTTCAGAATCTCAAAAACAAAATCTGAACTTTGTGTGGGGGAGGAGGTAACAGTTTAGATTTTTATTCTCCAAGAGGCAGAGGGACAGAGATAGAGCGCTGATGCTGCCCTGCCCGTCAGCCAGCCAGGGAGAATAAGTGAGAAGGCAGAAACCGAGGGCTACACCAGGGTTGGGCCAGGCCAACGCCAGGAGCCGTGGGCTGCAGCCGGCTCAGACCAGGCCAACGGGCCAACGCCAGGAGCCGTGGGCTGCAGCCGGCTCAGACCAGGCCAACGCCAGGAGCCGTGGGCTGCAGCCGGCTCAGACCAGGCCAACGCCAGGAGCCGTGGGCTGCAGCCGGCTCAGACCAGGCCAACGCCAGGAGCCGTGGGCTGCAGCCGGCTCAGACCAGGCCAACGCCAGGAGCCGTGGGCTGCAGCCGGCTCAGACCAGGCCAACGCCAGGAGCCGTGGGCTGCAGCCGGCTCAGACCAGGCCAACGCCAGGAGCCGTGGGCTGCAGCCGGCACAGACCAGGCCAACGCCAGGAGCCGTGGGCTGCAGCCGGCTCAGACCAGGCCAACGCCAGGAGCCGTGGGCTGCAGCCGGCTCAGACCAGGCCCAAGATTCTGGCTTGAGGAAGAAAAAAAAAAAAAGAAGAAGAGAATGAAAGAAGGAAGAAGAAGGAAGGAAAGAAAGGAAGGAAGGAAGGGAGAGGAAGAAGGAAAATGTAAAGAAAGTTGACACATAGTGTGGCTGCCTCTTCCTACCATGGGTTGGGTGGAAAGCTCACTTACCCCATAGAACAGGCCAAAGTAGGGAGAGATGTCCGGTTGGAAAACATGGACGAGGGACAAGATCTCGTCTTTGTAGCCCCACAGCAACTCGTCCACCGTGTGTGTCATGAAGAGTTTCTGCTGGTAGGCCTTCAACATGGCCTCCACGATGTCCGTGAGCAGGCGGCCTTGGACCCATTCTATGACAGACTGGGGAGCAGACGCAGATCAGCGCATGAGGCTCTTCTCCTGAGCCCCCCTAGCCCCACTCTCCTAGGACCCCCCTCAGCAAAGCGGCTGGAAGCGTAGGTGTGAATGTCAGGGTTACATGGGAGACCAACCAGCTGGCAAGCCCCTTGTCTACTGCAGATGTTGTCCTCTGCTCAGCACATCTGGTCAGTGGGAAGAAAGCCTCCTGTAAATACATGTTTGCCCACAAGGTGGCGCCACACCCTTCTTGAGCGGGCAGGAAGCCAGGCCCAGGTTATAAAGTCTACATGGCCAGGTGGTAGAGCCCGGCCCCACCTGGGATCCTCCATTCTCAGCTGCTGCTGGAGCTGTAGCCTAGGGGTGGTGCGGGAAGCCTCAGAAGAGGCTGGTGTGGGTGAAGAAGTTTCCTGGGTTGCAGGACAAAGGTGTGTGGGCAAGGCTGTCCGACACAGAGGCTGGGAAAGTCAGCTTCTGCATATTGGAAATTAATATGCTGGTGAGAAAGCTGGATCAAGAGGCGGTATGCAAATTCTACTTGTGAATCAAAACAGGGGGGCAAATCAACGTCTGAAATGACTATTAAAAAACCCAAAGCGCAAATCCCTAGGCATGCGGATCGGCCAAAGTGCTACTCCTGAACACACGGGGAGAGGCTGCATGAACAAATCCCCAAATCTGCATCTCACCATCATCGGAAAAGTCTTTGATGGACCAAAGAATGAATGGGTAAGACACATTTTAAAGAAGAGAAAATGTTATCTTTCTTTTTACATAGTTTAACATAACATTAGCTCTTTCATCAAGAACTATACCTGGCCTTCACTTAGATTTTTCTTCTAAAACTGCACAAGAATGACACTGAAATGCCTACTTACCAAGACAGGAATATTTAACGTCCTGATTAAGTCAACGCTCGGATCTCCAACTGATTGGTTGCGTTCAAAAACATAGGACTTGTTGCTAACGGCAGAAATGGTTGTCCCATTCTCTCCAAACTTAATATTTTCTTTGTTTCTGATCTCCCTAAAGCAAAAAGGTACTACATGAAAACAGGCACCATCTCAAACGTCAAGACTTGTTCTTTTCATTTTGCTTAGTGTAAAATTCATTTTGCAGTAAAATATTCCTGTGCAAACCTGTTATGGTTTGGTTCAGAAGTAGTTTAAAGGGCTTCAGGGCTGTGCACAAACTCCATCTGAATATCACCTGGTTTACTACTGGCTTTTGATTTTTTTTTTTTTTTTGAGGGCCAGAGAGAGTGTGAGAGATCGCTCACCTGCGGTTCGCCCCCTAAATGCCAGCAACAGCTGGGGCTATATCAGACTGGAGCTAGGACACGGGTACTCACCCCTGACCTCCACGTGGCAGCCACTCACCTCCTGGTCCTGCAAGGGTGCATGTCAAGCAGGAAGCTGAAGTGGGAGTGAGGACTTGAATGCAAGCATCAACATATGCGATGTGGGAATCCTCAATGCTTGGCGAAATGCTTGGCCTCACCTTTTGCTGACTACTTTTTTTGAAAGATTTATTTATTTTAATTTGAAAGGAGATTTACAGTGATTTACAGAGAGACAGAGAGATAGAGGGAGAAAGAAAATCTTCCATCAACTATTCAATTCCCAAACAGCTGCAACAGCCAGAACTGAGCCAATCCAAAGCCAGAAGCCAGGAGCTTCTTCTGGGTCTCCCATGCAGGTGCAGGGTCCCAAGCCTTTGGGCCATCCTTGACTGCTTTCCCAGGCTGCAAGCAGGCTTCTGGATGGCAAGCAGGGCCACCAGGATTAGAATCAGTGCCCATATGGAATCTTGGTGCATGCAAGGCAAGGACTTTAGCTGCTAGGCTACCGTGCCTGTTCCCAAAAATATATTTTTAAAACTGCCTACAGCACTTGTCCTAATGCCAGGACTGTTATGACTGTAACCCTGTTATGACTGTAACCCTGTCTACTACCCAGTTTGCTCTCACACTGAGATAGGGAGAAAAACAGTGAATAAAAAACATAAAAGCCTCTCTTGGGCAAACACTAAATTCTGGAAACTTGCTACACACCAGGTGCTAGAGAAAAGAAATGGTGGTGGTGGGGTCCTGGCATGGTGGCCTAGTGGCTAAAGTCTTTACCTTGAACTTGCCAGGATCCCATATGGGCGCTGGTTCTAATCCCAGCAACCCTACTTCCCTTCCAGCTCCCTGACTGTGGCCCGGGAAAGCAGTCGAGGATGGCCCAAAGCCTTGGGACCCTGCACCCACATGGGAGACTTAGAAGAGTTCCTGGCTCCTGGCTTTGGATTGATCAGCTCCAGCTGTTGAGGTCACTTAGGGAGTAAACCATCAGATGGAAGATCTTTCTTTTTCTCTCTGTATATCTGAGTTTCCAATAAAAATAAATAAAGCTTTAAAAAAGAAGGAAAGAAAGAAATGGTGGCGGTGGTCGAGGGGCAGGCCCCAAAGTCACTCCAGAAGAAGCAGGGGTGTGGTAAGAAAGCCCGTGTGCAGAGTGCTCCTGGTGCCCTCATGGCTGTGCTCCACCAGCTCACCTGCTCACACTCGGCCCTGGGCTGGATCCCATGATCGGAAGAGACGCCGTGCGGGTGTTAAGCAGTGGCAGGATGGCGTCCAGCGCTGTGGGAGCATCACCCGTGGGAGGTGGCAAGGGACACAGGGGTTGATGCATGCCTGCCGGGCAAGGAGCAGTGGGGACACTCACCTGTAAGTGTACGGCCCCACTTCCTCCAGCAGCGGCTTCTCTCCTCTGAGGATCTCCTCGGGGTTGGTGACGTTGAAGAAATAGAACTGGGTGTACACGGGCAGAGGGGGCTTCTCCCACGAGTCAAGGACCTCGGATCCATTCCTCAGCACCATGTTCTGGAAAAGGGAGCCAAAGCGAGATTCAGAAGGACAAAGAGAAAACAAAAACAAAACAAAACCATGGGACACAATGCAGGGACGTTCGCTTTGCTCCAAGGAGCACGCAGCTCGCTGCAACCATTGCACAGGCCTTGGCGCCGAGTGCTCAGTGCCAGCAGCCAGGCCAGGTCTCCAAGCGCTAAGGCAAGGCTGGAAGGCTGCCTGGGGACACAGTTCACAAATGAGTCAGGGGAGAGGCTAGACACTGCATTGCCCAAGACCCTATGGCTCGGGAGTATGGAGCATGGCACTCTGGCACAGTGACCAGAAATCAGGCTTTTCTGAGAGGCATGGCCACTCTGCTTGTCCGGGTGTTAGAGAAGAGGGAGAGGCTGGCACCATGGCATAGCCACGTCCTGCTGCATTAGCATGCTCTATAGGTGCCAGCCGGGGTCCTGTCTGTTCCACTGGTGATCCAGCCTCTGAGTAACAGCCGGGGGGCGGGGGTTGGGCAGCAGAGGAAAGCCCAAGCCCTTGGGCCCCTGTGCCCAGGTGGGAGATCCAGAAGCACCTGGCTTCTTCTGGCCTTGCCCAGCTCCAACCACTGTGGCCATGTGGGGAGTAAACTCAGATGGGAAGTCTCTCTCTCTCTCTCAATAACTCTTCCTTTCAAATAAAAAGGAGAAAAAGAACAGAGACACTGGCCCAAGAAAGGCAGGCTTGGTCCCAGCTGGGGTGGAACCGCACCAAACCCCATGCCCCTGACCCAGCGGCTTCACCTGAACTACTTTTTCAATACTATTTATTTGAAAGGTAGAATTACAGAGAGACAGAAGGAGGAAAGAGAGAGACAAAGGAGAGAATCTCCCATCGTCCTCCCAGCATCGTTTGCAGGGAGTTGGATCAGATGTGCAGTAGCTGGGACTCCAATCAGTGCTCATTAGTGATGGCAGCACGACACCTGCATTTTCTTTTCTTTTTAAAGAAGGAGAGACAGAAAGATCTTCCATCCCTGGTTCACTCCACAAGTAGCCACGACTGCTGAAACAGCCGATCTGAAGGCAGGAGCCAGGAGCTTCTTTGGGGTCTCCCACACAGGCGCAGGATCCCAAAGATTTGGGCCGCTCTCGACTGCCTTCCCAGACCACAAGCAGGGAGCTGGATGTGAAGTGGAGCAGTTGGGACATGAACCAGCACCCTTACAGGATTTGAACGTGTGCAAGGTGAAGATTTAGCCACCAAACTACCACACTTGGCCCCACATCTGCATTTTCTTACCTAGTACCCAACAAATCTGTAAACCAGAGATGCCTATCCCCCTTGCAAAGATGAGGAAGCTGCGCTGTGGACTCACCGCCTCACGCACGAACCTTTCATCCATCTGCCCTGGCCATGTGCTGCGCCCCGACACCAGACCTGCCAGCCCCAAACCCACATGGTGAAGTCCGACCCCGGTTCCCTGGAAAGACTGTCAGGAGGCTGAGTTTTCAGAGGGGATACTGACCGGCAGCTGAGGCCCTGAGGGGGCCCACGACAGTAAGCCTGCTGCCCTTTGAAGGGGGCATATTAGGACACAGAATGCACGAAGCAAAGACTATGTGGAGGCGTGGGAGAAGACGGCAACCTGTGAGCCAAGGAGTGGCATCCTGGGAGGACTCCTTCCTGCTGTTCAAGGGCAGCCTTCCAGCAAAAACGCTGTCTTTATTTTTCTTGGACATTTATTTATCTTTTATTGGTTTGACAGGCTCAGTGACAGCAAGAGCCACTGATTCATTCTCCCGAACAGCTGCAAACGGCCAGGTCTGAGTCAGGCCAAGGAGGCTGGGAGCCAAGAATTTCAGCCAAATCTCCCACATAGGTGACTGGGGTCCAAGCACATTGGGCCATCCTGGTCTGCTTCCCCAGGCTCATCAGCAGGGAGTTGGATCTGAAGCGGTACAGGGGCCAGCATGATGGCTCATTCGGCTAATCTGCTGCAATAGCGTTGGGATCCCACGTGGGTGCTGGTTCTAATCCTGGCTGCTCCACTTCCCATCAGGCTCCCAGCTTGTGGCCTGGGAAAGCAGTGGAGGACGGCCCAAAGCCTTAGGCCCTTGCACTTATATGGGAGACCTGGCTCCTGGCTTGGATCAGCTTTGCTCCAGCCACTGTGGCCATTTGGGGAATGAACCAGTGGATGAAGATTTTATTCTCTGTTTCTCCTTCTGTCTGTAAATTTGCCTTTCCATTAAAAGCAAATACATATTAAAAAAAAAAAAAAGTGGTACAGTGGAAACTCCAACCCATGCTTTAGTATAGGTTACACCAACATTTAACACACTGTGATACCCCTCAAGCAATGTAGCCTCAAGATCACTGTTGGCTGTTTCCAAGTCTCAAATCTGGCCGCACCTCATTCCCTAAGAATACAGAACATGTTCTGATGAGCTGAGCAGAGGAGATAGCTCATGAGCCACTCGAAAATTGCTCTCCTTTGCAGGGGGAGAGGAGGAGCAGCAGGCAAAGAGAGGGAGAGAAAACCACTGCACTGGCTGGCACCTCCTGGCAGGGAGCCAAGCATCATTACTCTGCCAACTGAAACTGGCCTGTTTCTCCCTGATTTCTTCAAAGGGGTCAGGTGACTTGGTTTGTGTTTGGGGGCAGGAGGGATTCCACACGGAGTTTTAGCCTGGCCTGTTGGTGCCTGGTGCAAGGAATGACTCCACAACAAGGGCCCCTAGAATTGTTCCTTATCCTTGCCAACACTCCCGGCACCCAGAACAATAGGCTCCATTGTCCATGCTACTCAGCCTGTGGCACTTTTTTTCCCCAGGATTTTTTTTGAAGATATATTTATTTTTATTGGAAAGCCAGATAAACAGAGAGGAGGAGAGACAGAGAGGAAGATCTTCCACCCAATGATTCACTCTCCAAGCAGCCACAGCGGCCGGAGCTGTGCCGTCCCAAAACCAGGAGCCCAGAGTTTCTTCTGAGTCACCCACACAGGTGCAGGGTCCCAAGGCTTTGGGCCATCCTGACTGTTTTCCCAGGCTGCAAGCAGGTAGCTGGATGGGAAGCAGGATTGCTGGGATTAGAACTGGCACCCACAGGGGATCCTGGCGCATACAAGGTGAGGACTTTAGCCTCTAGGCTACTGTGCTGGGCCTGGGATCTGTTTATTTTAATTGGAAAGGCAGACTTGTAGAGAAAAACAGAAGAAAGAAAGATCTTCCATTTGCAACAGCCGGAACTGAGCCTATCCGAAGCCAGGAGCTCCTTTTGGATCTCCCATGCAGGTGCAGGGTCCCAAAAACTTAGGCCATCCCCCACTGTTTTCCCAGGCCACAAGCAGGGAGTTGGATGGGAAGTGGAGCAACCAGGACAAGAGCCAGGCTAATCCAGAGAGGATTAGCCTGTCGGAGCCAGCATGCCGGCCCCTAGCCTGTGGTATTTCTTATGGTTTCCCTGGAAAACTAACACCCCTGAGCCTCTCTCTGTGCGGAGTGCTCTTTGCCGCCTACTGACTCCTGGATCAGCCTTGTGACCAAATCTGACTGACAGAACGTGGGCGGCCTGGCAGCGTACCCGTTCATGGCCAAGCCCTTGTGACGCTCAGCCTGTTTCTGTCAGGTGACTCGAAGCCACCCGCTTCTGCCAGAAGGGGGTGTCAACAGGTGGCTGTGGATCCTTGCACGTATGGCCTAAAACATGGAGCAGACCTGAGCTGACCGCAAGCCTGGGGTCCAGTGGAGCCAGTCCAGCTCAAACCAGCAAGCCGGCTTCCCACCCTGGGGGTGAAGCTGGCAGTGCTGGGAAGAGCTGATGAGGCCTGACAGGTGTCACTGCTCATTGTAACAGCTGCCTGGGAAATGCAGTGCCCAAGCTTCACAGACACAAGCCCAGTGTCCTCACCCTAACAGTCCGCAGTCTGCTACTGGAGATTATCACAGAAAAAAAAAAGTATCACTTAAGGACACAAACTGAACAGCACAAACGGAAACCAAACAAGCCAAGAGCGGTTGAACACAGATGACCTTGCAGTGTTAGGAACCTGCACGGCATTTTCTCCTTGATAAGATTTGGTGTTTTCTATTGTTTTTATGAATAGCAAGGAAAATACCACTGAGGAAAGATGTCAGGAGGAAATCCAAAGAGGAAGGTGGAACTCAGTGTGAGGGAGCCAGTGAGACACCAGCGATCAGGAAGTAACACCTGCTGTATCATTGTGGGGTACTCTAAGTGACAACCTGAGCAGTGCTACACTCCAGCTGTGCCACTGCAGGTAGCAACAGGTGCAGCTGATGCTGTTGGCACCTCCAATTTAGCACAAACAATGTTCCAAGGGAACTGAATCATACAGCTGCACTGTTCAGCAGGACAGACCTCAAGAAGCTCTGCAGGGGGGAAAAGTGAGTACAGATAAAAACAATGCAGGAAATTGAGCAAGGCAGAGTGAAGTCAAGCCCATTCATGCCCACTAGCCGGCTTTGTGGGCCGCATCCAAGTCCTGGCACTGGATTTCTATCTGAGCAACACACTGTTGAAGTCTAGGGGTGAGGGTGGGGCGAGGACAGTCAGCTCAAACTCATAGTGCAAGGAAACACCAGGCCTGGGAAGTCCTCCAGGATGCTGAGGTGAACTCTGACCCCAAAGCCTCTTTCCACTTCAGGTCAGGGCTGCATCTGGCACCTGGAGCAGCCATTCCCCCTCTGCCAACAACTTCCCAATCAATCGGGCAGAATATAACTACACATCTTAAGTTACTCCAAACACATGGGAACTATCTCTCAAGCCAAAAGTGTACAGACAGCACCGGAAACAAGCTCAGAAACATCCGTGTAACTGCCCTAGAATTCATGTGTTCATCATGAGAAGCTCTACCACGTGAACACGAGTTATTCTGCCTTCTAGAAGATTCTGAAGGCCCATGTATTCTCTGTAGAGTGGAAGGCACCTGCAAGCCACAGGCCTCTATCCCATGTGTAATATTATCCTTCTACCTGTCAATCAAAATGTCCCTTTCCCAGAGTGCACCTGTT